CATCAGGGTCTGGAACCGTTCCGGCAAACATGGGCGGAGCGAACACTGACAGGCTGACAGGGTCCTTTTCCCCAGATAGCATGAACTATTGGGGATCTTGCTTCAAGTATCTTCCAGATCCTCACATATAGGAAGAGCTGCGTGTGTGCATTCTAGAGTTTGGGCGCTCGTGTCGCTGCAAGGTGGCGCTGTGTGTGCGCTTGGGAGTTTGTGTGCAAGGTGCTGCTTCAGGGTGCGCTGCAGGGTGCCGCTGCTGTGTGCACTTGGGAACTTGGTGCTGGTGCCGCTACAGGGTGCGCTTGGGAGCCCTGCACTTGGGAGTTTGGGCGCTGGTGCCGCTGCTGTGTGCGCTTGGGAGCTTGGGTGCTGGTGCCGTGCCACTGCTGTGTGCGCTTGGGAGCTTGGGCGCTGGAGCCGCTGCAGGGTCCCGCAACCTTCCCGCAGCAGTGTGCCTCTGCGTGCTGCTGGTGCGGCCGCAGAAGTCTTGCTGCTATCTGGGGTCCCTGCTGGCGAAATTCACATTCTCAAACCGTGTCCCCGTGAAAGACCTTCTCAGTTCGTCCTGAGGTAGCCTGAGGTAGGGGCTGATCCTGACCCACTTAGTCGCACCAATAAAACTCACCCGCAAATCAAAGTCATAGACAGGAGAACATGGAGATGGCAAAACAACACGCACATAGGACCCTCTGACCGTTCGTTAGAGTCTAAGATCGGGGACAAACAAACGCAAACGCTAGTGCAATCATGCTTGGAAGACATTTGCCATCGTATTTGTGAGTTGCGCCGCACCCGAACCATTGCACACCATAGGAGTGTATTTGTTTGGAACCCCGACATCGCGTTGAATCTTATAAAGGTTGGTGGGGTCGGCAAAAAGGGTCCAAGCCCCCAAACCTGCCAGTTCATGCGGAGTGCCATGTCTTCCATGAGCATAGAGGCAGCCATGTGCAGCACAGTCTGTTGGTTTGGACCGCGCAAGTCGATCGGCACCCCAGCATCCAAGAAGATCTCCTGAGAGCTTTTTCATGCGAAAAACAACAAAAACACCAGTGGATAGGACAAAGGAAGAAGCTACAAGTGCTAGAGCCGTTGGAAATTTGTTGAGCATTTTTTTGCCATCTGCTGCACACCACAATCTGCATGCCGGTGCTTTTGGAGGCAGTGTTTACTATCATCTGCAGAAAAGCCGGTCAGTCGATCTCAAGAGAATGCCGAACATAAGCCAGGAATGCTTTGAGGAGCTTCATGAAAGCCACCACCCTATCATCCAACAGCACATGTCTACATGCGAGCGGACGCGGGGGAAAATTCAGACATCCGGCTGTCCAACAAAGTGCACTGCGATCCCTCGCATGCTTGCACGACGCACCAAGCAAAGAGGCTTTCACAGCTTTACTTGCACGCCCCAACTTCGGCACGCCCAAAGAACATGTTCATCCTTCTCGAAATGCAACATGCGCGCGAAACGATTGTCGTTGTGGATCAGTCCCTGCTGCCACCCAGTGATGCTATCACTAACTTGCAAGTATGAATGGTCGCCAGAACATGTAGCAAATCCATGTACACAAACAAGTCGTAGGCACGAGACAGAGTGAAGTTAAACATATACTTTGAGATGCCCCCCCTCCCACACAGTATTCCGTATACAAACTTGGAAACCTACAAAGTAGAAAGGCCCCAATGAGTCCATGTTCACTCGATTCACGGTTCCAATCAGTTGATGCCAGGTCAACTCTCTGCGCGCACTGCAAAAAGAGACAAGGACCTGCCGGACCTACCACGCTGCGTGTGGATCAAATTTTGCCCTGGAATCAATCACACCTCGAAACATTCAACCCCTTGCTTGAAACAAGTGATGTGATCATCGATTGAACCGGCTGGACCGACTCCTGACCATTCGGAACGGACGCAGCCGAAACAGCCTCCCTCCGCCTCCGCTTTCCAACGAACGCGGCAGGAGTTCGGACACTTCCGAAAGCGGACACCCAAACCATTCAATGGGACTGGTTACATGAATACATGGACCCCATTTTCAAACGACCCCAATGCCAACCGGTCCACACATAGATGGTCTGGGAATGGTGGTCTGCGGGGGAGTTCGGAACGGGGCGCATCGAGTTCGGACTCCGTGGTGAGCCTTTAGACGGAGGGTTTCCAAAAGCCATCTGTGGAAATATATGAAGTGCTACTCTCCCGGTTTTTTACGTATCCTTTTAAAGGCTTCTTTTCTTTTTTTGGTTAAGTTAGGTGACCTGGAAGGTCAGATCCATGAGCAGGACACGTTAGCGATTCAAAAGTTGTTTTTGCAAACATGTGATTTGGACAGGTTAGCTGCTTAGAGGTCTTTGGCTTGCAATGTGATCCTGGGAATCTAGACTAAAATCATTATAAAAAATCCTGGTGTGGGATACTGAGCGTTGGCAAGTGAAGTGCTGGTGTCCCGCAGAAGTGTGGCTCCCTTGCTTTGGTGTCTTGGTGGACATGTTTGTGCGGACAATGCTAACATGTCCGTTTACGAATTTAAGAAACCCTAAGATTTTGCAAAAAAAAGAGCTGACATAGCCCGTCACAAAAACGGGCATCTCTTCTGTGATGGGACAGGTTCGCAGCTTTTCGAGGCATGTTGGGTCATGTTCAAAATCATTATGATACCGTTTTCTCCGGTTATTCCCCAGGAAATACCGCTCTAGAGCTGAACATGTTAGGGACTAGTCCCAAACGCACTCCGGGACACGTATATCTGAAAGAGTGTACTCTCAAATTATCTCAAATTAAAGGTCTTCTGTGCAAAATGGGTCCTTATATCCCCTATGGCTAGGGGTGGGTTTGAGGGGTCTAACTGTCTGACTACCTTCTGAGGATGTGGTTGGAGCCCTAGGGATTGAGATGGGATCGGACTATCTGGTTTTGGATATCCCAGGTGATGTCAAAAAGATTCAAAAAGTCAAAATTCCCCACATGCACTGCAGTTGCTAGTTCAATCACCATCATGACCTGTGACGGCAATTTGCTTTCAATACGATTGTCAATCGCGTTCAGGAGCTGTGGAAAGGAGGTGATGACACTAAAAAAGTACCACCTAAACCTTCTGCTAGATTACAAAAACAACTACTGTATATGAATCATTTGAATTGAAACCTGTGGATCGCAGGGTCTTGTGAAGTTTCTTTCACCACCTCGACATCAATTGGTCCATTGATGTCCACTAGTTCACTCGAAGAGTGGTCCTCTGGCTATGTTATGAAGTAGATATCCAAAACTCGAATGTTGCTCTTAAAAATACTAGGTCTTCAGACTTTGCTAAAGGCAGATCGCATTCAGTTCAGTCTTTGCAAGACCCAACTCCTCGTCCTCACCCGATTCACCGAACCTGCTGTTAAGGCTCAAGCACCTCTTGATGCCCACCCCAAGCGGCTTCATGCAGCGGCAAACTTCCGGCTGAATCGGAGTCCACGTCTGAATGGCCTGATTGAAGCAGGAAGCGCACCACATCCACATGCCTGAGATTCTCGGAGATTCTGGATTTCTCAGCGGAAATGGCGTTGCTTGGCATCACCGGTCTTCTTTGACCGACGGAATGAGGCGGATCGCATGCGATCGAGACGATGCAACCGCCCTGTGAACAGTGTTTGGGGCCCACAATTAAGCAGGCAATGATCGTCGTTCGACTCATTCCTAGATGATCATTTATCGGCAAATGGCCCAAAGGTTGGCCCTCAAGTGGTCCAAACAACTTAGCAAAACTGTCATCTGCGATGTCTCCTGGTGGCATGGTCTCAAAAAGGGAACTCTCAACAAGCTACAATCTCGAGTAAGAAAGGCAAATTGTAACTTGCCGGATAAGAATCAGTAGCTTCCACAAAGATGCAAAGAAGTGCAAACTAAGACACACACACAATACGTGCACTTTATGAACTTTGTTATTTTTCTTTATTTTTCGCTCTCTCTCTCTCTCTTGTACATACATATATATATATATGTATAATGGTTGTTGACAATCTTGGTCATTAATCAGTGGAACACAGTGGAACCCCGCACGAACTGCTGCCATGTTACTTGCATGGTTTGTTTGTTTGTTTGTTGCAGAAATGGTGATCCCAGTTGCGAATTGAAACCACCACTGATGAATTCCTTCTGACCCGCTGCCCTGAGATGCAGCAACATCCAATGCTCCCAACCCCACTGAAATGAACCAACAAGCATAATCAGTGGTCTCCCAAATAGCCATGCTTCATGCTTTAAGATGGTGATCTAATTAAGAACATTTCTCCAGCTTCCGTCTCCAGGCCACCCATTGGCGGCTGCCCAATGAAGGGGACTGGCGCCCTCCTCGTCAATGATATTCGAGTCAGGCATGGCCGAGTGACGGCTCAACCTGAATTCGGAGCTCAAAGCTCAAAGTCAGATCCCTTCTCCTCCAGTGAGTTTTTTCCTTCCTGTTTGGGAGAAAACGATGCTCTACAACGAACATTGCAGCTGTTTCTGGAGCGTTTTGGCCCAAGCTGAAGCCCGCCATGCTGTGTGAGCTGGTTGCTAGGCAGATGGGATCAAACGAAAAGGTGAAAGGAACCATTCGACCCTGGTGCTCCACCCACATCCTCAGAAAGTGGTAGGGTGGGTTTGCGGGGTCCAACTACCTTCTGAGGATGTGCTCGGAGCTTGAGGGGAAAAGAAACAAGAACATCCTTCAAGTCTTAATGGATGAAGGAATAAGCTTGATCACCCTGCTGCTCTGCTGTTCGCTAGACCCTATCGCTCCGTGTGAATCCACAGGCTTCTACATCTTGTTCGTCTGTGGAAGCCCTGAACCACTTGACTACCCAGCTCACGAGCTCACCCAGGAATCTCCAGCGAGAACATCCAGGATGGCCATCTTATCTGATGTCCAAAACCAGCACGTTCCACATGGGGAATCCCCAAACAAGAATTGAAGTGGCCACCGAACGAACCCCGCATGGCAAGCTGGTGTCCTGTAGGCATCTGGGCTTAAGCTGTTGTTGGTGTTTGCCAGCTGTATCGAACTGGGGTGCAATGTCTGAATATGATACAGCTTCATATGGTACGCGGTCAATGGTGGCCTTCATGTCAAAACCCAAACCACTCACAGTTCCAGATAACGGCCATGCAGGCCGCGGCGGTGTCGGCTCGACGGAGCAAGCACCGGTGTCGCGAATCGCCTTCTTCCATCCACTGGTGCGTCTGGTGCGGTTCGACACATACCTCCCAGCGATTGAATCCAGGAAGCAGCTGAAGAATGTCCACATGACCAGCTGCTGCTGCCTCATGTTGAACACTTCGCGCCTTCTCAGCCGCAGGTCTTGCAGCCACTGGGACAGCTTTTCGCTTGGACAAATACCTTGATTTGTCACAGGAGATTCGGAAGAAGATCGCAATGTTCTCTTACAGGGGAGTTGCAGCAAAGGAAATACACAATTCTAGAGCAGAAACTCCTTCTGACCATACATATATATATATATATATATTGAGAGCTTCAACTTGTAGTTCCTAGGCACAATGTAGAACAAAGCTGTTCTTTCTTTTTTTGGTAAAGAAAACACACTCCAATCACCGGATCCAGCCGACTCCGCGAAGCGCGCCCGCGACCAGAAGGGCCCCGAGCGCAGAAGGAGGCTCCCTCCAGCCGTGTGGGTCGCTCCGGGGCACGGCCTCGGGCGGGTCAACGGGCTCCGAGCACATCCGTTTCCGGTTCGGTGGTTGGGGTGGCGAACCCAAGAATTACCTTTATTTGAACTGGAAAAAAGTGCTCCGGAAGAAAAATAAGGTGTGGTCCAAGGTGTGGAAGCGGAATGAAGTATCGAAGATTTCGAACATATATCACTCACTAAAATGCCATGCTTTTGGACTTGTATCTCCTCGGACAATGAAGTATGGGCATAGGTGCTGCTTCTAAGATTGCTTTCGCTCAAACCTACTCTCCTGTGACTTGTCTGCAAGCCGTAGGGGTATCAAGCAGTTCTTTCAACTGTACATATTCAGTCTACACTCCCTCAAAAAATAATGGAAGTGGAACATGAAGAAAACTGGTCCCTTGGATGATCATGGAATCCTCTACAAACAGGTGATTTCACCTTTGACGGCTGCACCCGGGTTTCAAGGGCTTGGTGCCCAGCCGGACGGCACCCCAAACAGGTGGGAGTCGGGGAAGTCCGGTGGTGTCTCCAGAGCCCCAAACAGCTCGGCCTGGACCGAAGCGAGAAAGGGACGGTTCAAGGGTTTTCCGTGTCCTGGCCATAAGGGTTACTGTGTTCTCCACCTTTTGTGGAGAATTTGGTTGAGATCAACAGTTCAGATTGCCCAAGCAACTGGGGCTTCTCCACGTGCGCACCGGCTGCTAAGAGCAGCTGAGCCACTGACACATGCCCTGGAGCGGCGGAGGGCTCTGGCCGAAGGATTGACAAGTCCTGTAGACCTGCCATTCATCGTTCTACTTGGCAAAGACCCCCATGGAAGTTGAAGGAAATAGATCCCACTGCTGGCGGGTCTCTGAGTTGTCATACAAAGCTATTGGTCGCCATTGGTCACTGGTCCTATATTTACACTGGTAGCCCCGTGTCCGTATCGTATACCTCCGTGTCTTCCCACTGGGCATCTGGGGACAACGCGAACTGCGCTGGGGTGGAAGAAACCATTTCGGAGGGACTTCGACTCCAAGAACTGCTGTTTGGCGGTAGGGCGAGAACGACCGATTCCAACGATCAACGAGTCTTGCAGATTGGACGGTTTACACAACACCTCAAGTACACAAAACCTTTGTAGTAGGGATAACTAGACCGTTGGCTAGTTTAGCATAGTTCTTGCTTTCACAGATTTTCTTCACCCGAAAGCATTTGCTATTCGAGGCCCAGTCATTATCACTATACTTCAAACACTGCTTCGCTGCAAATTAAGAACCAGTAAATCGACCAAAACACAATCTCCCTCCAACATCGAAGTGGAGCAAGGACTGGCCACGTTTCTTCACCACGTTGCTCCACACCGTTTGGCCCCTGCGGTGTTTCCCCGGTTGGAACGAGACATCAGTTTGGCGCTGGCCCGCCGGCAGTTTCGGTGTCTCAGGGTTCACCGGCCTTTCCTTGCAGCCCAATGTAGCGGCGTCAAAGCCTCACAATCTTGGAGATGCAAAGGCGCTTTCCTTAGCGGGAAAACCACATGGCATCTTTGATAGTTGGAATGGTTGCCACACAATAGAGACATGGACATCGTGTGAAGTTTGAATGTCTTTGTGTTGATTGAAGCTTCCATTCTACTTGATTCTTCCTTCTCAAACCAACTGGCTGTTGGAGTTTAACTCGTGTGCGGCTTCTGACCTGACACTTCACTTGTGACCCACCGACCCACCAAGTTCGGGTCTACATTCTAGATCTGAACTTCGGTTGTGAGATGTCTGGGATGTCTGCCATACTGATTCAGCGATGACACACCACTCCCTGTATTCTCTAATCGTGCACGTGGGCCAAAAATCCTTTCAAATACGAGTACCAACGGACCCCGAACCCCAAATCACCCAAACACTCAACAGGAACTCGGTTTGGATCTCTGGAACTCGCTTTTCACCGCCGAGGTGCCTCTCCAGCAGAAGATCCACGACCTGTGCGTGGCCCTTGGCCGAGGCCTCATGCAGTGCTGTGGCGCCGTGCTCGTCCAACGCCAGCAGCGATGCGTCGGAGAGGAGGATCCGGCAGACCTGGAGTGACTGGGATCGTCGTAGACTGGTCCATGTCCCGAACCGAACCCAGGGGGTCGGAACACCTGATGAACGGCTGTTGCCCAGTTTGATACACACCCGTATGGTGTAGATGACTATACCAGTGAGTGGCCAACCCCCCCAGCTCGAACAAGTGGCTTGAAGAAGGCCCTGTGGTCCAAGCACTTGATCCTGAAAATCTGCTCAGCTTCAAACGTCTGGGGGAACAAAAGTCTTAGCAAAGATCTTCTTTGAAGTATGCAGAAACTCTAATGCAACAATGGTTGGCCTGCTCAAACACAACTCCACATGTGCCCTCCATTGCCTGGCAAAAGCAGGCAAAGCAGTTGTCCCGTGCTGAATTCACCTTGCGAACCAGACCAGGTTGATCAAAAACCACCCCAGCAACTCTGCAAAGAGGATACATGAAACCACAAACATGAGCCAGCCTACAGTTGGTGAGGTGACCTGTTGTGCGTCGATTCATCGACGCTCGGCCGAACTCAGCGCCTCCACGTGTCCAGCTCCAGCTGCCTCATGCAGGAGGCTGCGTTGCCCCGAGACATCGGGCGAAGTCCGCGGAAGAAGGTCTTCCAAAATCTCCACCTGGAGGGGGGGTCACCCGACACCACGTGGGGGCCATATGACATGCCATGACTCGGAACGGCCAGTTCGGGTTCCGGTCGCTGGACGCTTTAGAGAGAAATCATGAGAAATCATTGGCATGCATCGGCCTCCACAAAACTCCTCACATCAGGCAGCTACAACATGCTAGGACTGCTTCATGGATACCCTGGAAAAAACAACATTTGATTGAGATTGATTTCAATTGTAATGATTCTTCTATCAATGGCATCTATGCCGGCTTTGCAGACTTCCCCACCTGCCCAGCCCCAGCAGCTGCTGCTGCTGCCCTCGCCACAGCATCGTCCTCAGCGCTGAAGCACCGCAGCAGTTGCGCCAGCGTGGCGCGGTGGCCGCGTGCGGCGGCGGCCGCGAGAGCCTGCGGCCCAGCGACACCTGATTTCATATGCTGGGAGCGGCATCTGCTTGGCATTGATTCTATTACAAAATGCTGCCTTTGTTAACCAAAGTCAATGTAGGCCTGTCTGCTGCACATGCTCCGCAGCCGCAGCGGTCAAATTTTGTGGCTCGTTGGAGTGGTCGAGCAAGAATTCCACCACACGATGGTGTCCTGAAGGCTTCTGATGGGATTAGCACCTGTATAGCCTATAGCTGGAATGTCATAATAGTCCAATCTGTCCTGGAACAGGAGTGGTATAGAGTAGTTAAGTATGAATACGACAGGAGTAGTTATGTCTGTTCATGTGCTTCGCTTTGGTACGTTCGGATCTTCACAACCTCTGATCCGTTCTTTCAAGCTGTCCGCTGTTAGATCAACAGGTCAGCACGGCGTGGCCGATTGAGCTCGGCGTCCTCGCTCGGCGGCCAAGCCCAAGGGTGACCAGCCCTCGCGGCTGAGGTGGGGCACTGCTGAAGCGTCCAGGAGCTGCTGGATGAGGCCTCCCCCCAAAAGATGGATCGATTAGATACCAGCTATTGACCAGTGAGGGGTCAAGAAGGTAGACTGTATAAAGGTGCCAGAAGAATTGATGGTTCTGGTGCATCAACTGGCTATAGAGGTGCAAGAAGAACTGCTGCTTTATGTGGCGATTGGTTGTCGTCAACAAAGGTTTTCCTGGGGTCTGCAGGGAATGGTGCAACGCTGGTTCATGCGCTATCAAACTTATTAGAATCCTGATTAACACATGAAAATATTTTCCAAACGGGGGATTATCAATCAATATTTCTACATGAATGGTTCCTACTGATTGTTGATCCCCACGAATTATGTCAGTTCATCTCATGTCCACTGCCATTTTGGCCATCCACCAAACCACACCACGTGCTACACCACGCGGCCACCATGCTGCCTAAATGCCCCGCTTCCGCAGCCAAATGCAAGGCGGTGAGTCCTTGTCTGTGACGCCAGCTGAGCGTGGTGATGGTTTTGTGGCTTGCTATGTCTTGTCCTTGTTTGGCTGAGTTCGGTTTGAAACAATTGGTGTTTTAAAGCGAGTTTTTGGTTGGCGCCCTGCTCTTCATTGGGCATCCAAATCCCTTAGCTGACATCATCCTTCGTCAAGCTTTCGAACCTTCCGTACATTTGTTGTAAATCCAGGTTGTGGGTGGGGGTAGTTGCTCTCCAAAAAGATGATACAGCTGACAAAAAACAACCACCTTCCGCAGGTCCCTCTTGCCCCACTGGGCTCGCCCAAATATTTCGAGCTCCAAACAAAAACTTTTTTTGTTTTGCAGGAAACAACGAAAACGAAGGTCGCTCCCTCTCCTAGCTTGGCATCTGCTGCATCAACATCTCTCATCCGATCCACCTGACACGAAAACACGAAATCGCGACGGATTCCGCGGAGATGTTGGGCGTTTGGTTCGTCATCTTCAGGTGCCACGGTGACTGGTCGTGTCTGTGGTCTTGCTGAAGCAACATGTGTAATTATACCAGGAGCCCGTTTTGGGGTGGTTCATAGACACCCCAAAAATCTCCAAAACCTCTTTTCGGGGCTATTATTAGACACCCCCAATACCGGGGGGCGGCCCTGGTACAGAAGAATAAAGAAAGGACACGTCACGCGGAAGCTCTGTGTGACGCCTCGTGAGATTTTCATCGGCAAACCCAGCCACAGCTCCTTTTGGACATGCTTGCATTGGATCAGGCTTGGGCGAAGGAGGTTTAGGGATAGTACAAGAAATATCAACGTTTATAAGTACAATTCTGGCTGGATTGCATCAATTCCCGATCGTGGCAATTTTCCACTTTGGTGTGAATGCTCCAAAATCATTGTCTTTGGACATTTTATGGTCTGAGGGATTTGTTCTTATTCAACAACAAGCTGGTTTCAGGCTACACCCCAAATCAGTGGCAAAAGGTTGAATTCGATCCGAGTAGTACGATCGTCACTGTGGCCCATGGCCTGGAGTGGTACGATCGTCACTGCATGGCCTCCAATCCAATATTCAAAGCATGTCATGCTTCCTTTGCAACCATATTCTGAGCGGCAGGCCTGTGCACGCTCTTGCCCCCCTATTTGTCAGATCGTGCGGTAGCCAGCTTAAGTAGACCGATCTGCTGAAAAGAGGCGTCCATGCTGACTGAGACGACCCCCCCTTGCTGGCAACTCTTTTGAAAAAGACTTGAAACTATGAGTGACGCTGGCTGTCCAACTTGAACTCCCAAGCTGTGGCCCTGAGAAACGTCCAGTTCTGGGTGCCCTACTTAACAGTCCTCCTCCCTCCAAGAAACATAGAAGCGGAGTTCACTCCCTCTTGGTGGAGGAACATGGTCTTCCCAGGGCCCATGTTTTTCCATGTTTGTTGGATAGAGGGTAAATACCATGAAGATTCCTGTAGTTCAGGATTCTGTACAGGATACTGTCACTATGTCAATAACTACTCTCCCAGGTGGACCTTGCTAAAAGGATGGATCGCTTTCTTCCTCCTTTGTGATCATCACGCAGCCTCCAGGGTTCCATCGATGGCATGGCGCTGCCAGGGCTCCTGGAGCCAACGAGCTCGTAGGTTGAAGGCGATCCTCGAGCAAGGAAAGCAGCACCCGTGCACTTATGCATCTCTGCGCGGTGTTGCCACTAGGCACACATGGGCACCCTCCGTAGTAGTGTTGTTAGCCTTCAGCAAGCCTTTCTGGAGAATGGGACAACACATGAACCAAATACCTCCCCAAGAATAGACGTATAGCTTTTGTGCAGGCAGTTCGAATGCTGGGGGCTATGTTTGTTTGAGGGATAGTCGGTCTACTGGACGGCTCCAACAGTCCATGATCAACATCCTGCAAAGCAAACGGAGTACCAGGAAGCAAAAGTCACCTCTCCGATTCGATTGCTTTTCATAACCTGGACCTCCTTAATTTATGGTGCTAAGGTCTGGATCAGCCGAATCTTGAAAAAACATGTGGTTGGTTTCCAAAATGTCTTTTCCCAAAATGGTGCACTCATCGCAATTCCATGGGGGCCCGCTTCTAAATCTCCTTTAAACTTCAACCACACTCAAGCCACAGGGATGTTAAGCATGAAGGCGTGTGAACTGCAAAAACTGTGAGAGGTGTCTAGCGCGGACTGCTGAGATGCTGGAGCTGTTGCTGCTGCTGCTGCTGCTGGACTCCTGCAGCTGTTTCCACTTTTTGCTCTCAGAAATCTTCAGAACGACATAATTAGGAAGGACGTAAGAGCTGACTCAAAACTATTTAGATGTTGGATGGGCAAGTGGTCAAGAAATGGACCGTCGTCTAGCGCGGTGCTAGCGCGGATCTAGCGCCAGCCTAGCGCAAAAATCTCCGTCGATTTCTTTATCCTGTCAGACTCTTATTTTTCCTGCTTGCTTGTCTTCTTCTTGTTGTGCATTCTTCTTCTTCTTCTTGGCTTTTTTTTCTTGTCTTGCTTCTTCTGTTTCCTGCTCTCTGCTTGTTTCTTCTTTTTCCTGCTTGCTATCCTGTTATGAAGAAACCTAGCGCCAACCTAGCGCCAATCTAGCGCTGTCTTGCTGTATCACCATATTCTGCTGGGGGCCCGCTTCTAAACGAAGACTTAAACACACATCTACAACCTTAAACGTTTACGTTTATCTATTTTTTTTGAGTAGGGCTTTTTGAGCGCAGTCCATGTGTCAGGATCTCCAAACAAACAGACCTCCTCTGCAACCAGGTTGCTACCAAATACTAACACGGGCCTTTGCCACCGCACACAGTGCTCAGGTACATTTGACACGACAAAGATACGGAGATGAAAGTGATCCGAAAGTGAAAGTGATCCCAAAGTGATGAGGACAGCCGAACAAAGCGATTGGTCTGACTATGCCCTGGAAACATGAATTTTGCTCAGAAGTCTGCAGTGAAACATAGCAACACATGTTGGCGACCCAGGTCGTCGTGATGGTCTTGAAATGTGTTGTCCGACAACCGTGTAGTCTGAGCAACCTGTATACAGGCACACACGCGTATAAACATCATCGTTGTACTCACTTTCTGACACCATCGTCGAAACTGAAGCTTGTAAGGTTCCTTGTGAAATAGGTTGGATTCTGAGCCGTTGCAAAGCTCTAAAGTTTGCATCCAAACAAGTAGCCCTTGCAAAAAGTAATGTCTCCACCCAGGGAAGAAAGTACTGTGATCTTTGCAGTGCATTCATTGTATTCGGCCAAGTGCTTAAATTGTTCTTTAGTACAAGCAGAAGAGTTCACCTCCTTTGCTTTCGATTGTGAAGTGAAGCTACCAAACATGACGAACTCCTGTCTCGCCGGGGGGCGAGATCCGCTCGCGGCCATTGGGAGGCACCGGGTCCACTTCGTGCTCCTTGATGGAGAATGGGCGCGAATAGGGGTGGGATGAGCTACTTGCAAGTCCTCCCATGTGGTTGATCTTTTTGAAGGAATGTTTGCTCTGAACAAACTGTTTCAATTTCTCGCAACACTTTCACATCCTTGTAGATTGACCTAGGACCGTTCTTTTTGTGGGATGCGCTTCCCGATCCTCGGTGGAACATTTGGAAAGGACACTTTTCGGTGGCCCCACCGAGGCCGAGAGGCCATGTCCGGCGGGAAAAGAATCAGGAAGCCAGGCTTCGGGTGGATCTCCATCACCTCCTGAGCAGCGGAGCAGCGATTGGCTCGGATGGATCCACTACTGGATCCACAACGGGCAACGAACGGGTTGACCACGTTGGTTCTGAAAAGAAAAGGCGACTTGGGAACACCTGAGATTTGTCCAGCCTCCGAGGTTTCAGAACAAAACCATCCAAGCAACAAATTCGCTTTGGATGCATGCCGAATCATTGTCGAGTCTAGGTGACATTGCCATGATTTATGATTCAGGCTGAATGAGTATGATGAGCCAGCACCACCCAAAGGATGGTTTATAGACCCCGTGACTCTGACTAAGCATCTTCTTTCCAATAGCCACCCGCCTGCCATTTGCCCTGCCCACCCTTCAACAATGGAACATCGCCGCGGAGCCCCATCCAAATGCCTTTCATTTGGCCTGCAGTTGTCTTGGTCAAAGGCAAACCGGCAAACCTTCTAATTGAATCTATTTGAACTGTCTCCCCTAGGGTCACTTGTCTATGAATGAGGAACAAAGCTGTTGGATAGAGTGCAGTTCCCTGGAGTGGCCGTGAATCCCGAAACTCTGGCAAAATCCCACAAGATGAGCAGAAGAAGCCCCACGGTTTCACGAAAGCTCGGCGCCTTCCCATAGAGCCGCAAGGGCGCTTCCGGTGTGCACTGGCAGTAGAAAACGCCTGGGTTCGAGGCTGCCCATCCCGGTTTGGAGTCGTGCACGTGGCCCTCTTGCACCCAAAGGAGAGCACCCACAATACAAACACCACTCCTTGTCTGCGAATTACACTGGTTTCCGGCTGCAACTACACGTCCCCACTTGTAGGTCACACAGGTCACGGTTTGTGAAGGACTGCACCAGCAAGTTCACCACCCTGGTGCCCAGCCTCGAAACTCCTCACAGCAACGGTCCCCGGTACCCCTTCTGAAACGACCATTCCTTTGGACCTGTTTCTCCAGTCACTGTCAACCGGCCTGACACCAACAAGGACGCTGTGGCAGTGCCGTGGTCGTGGCGCCGGTTGAAGTGCCCCGGGCGATTGATGTTGGCCCAAAGCTGATCTGCCACGGCGTGTGTAGGAGCGATTGATGTTGTCGCGCCTGCGGCTTTGGAGCCTTTGGACACCTGGTGCACACTTGACCTCCGGTGTGTTCCCAGCACCTGCCTTGTTAGATTGCATGGCCCCGGAAAGGCATGGGATGGTGATTCAGCCGATTCCCCACTATTCCACGCTTTTCCAGTACTTCGGCAGGTCATCAAATGGTCTCATAGAGATTTTGGGTGAACATGAACCGACGTAATGTATTAATATAGGTTGGTTGACTTGTGGCGACATTCACCTTCTACCACCTGTCAAGTTCATTGAAGTAACCTCGACCCCCCAAAAAACACGACCCAGCTTCTGCGTCAGTCCGTCTAAATCACCCCGCATCTCGCCCCCTCCACACCCGACGCCGCGGACCTTCGATCTTCGCCTGCCAGGCGCTGAGGTGCCAACTCAACTTCTCCAGCAACTCCCGCAGCCCGCGACGGGAGCCGCAGCGGGCGACCAGGTCGCGGCCTTGGACTGGCCAGGCGGGCAGGGCGGCGAGGCGAGGCAACAACAATGACATTGGGTTGCCTTGCCTCCAGTTGCTTGCAGCTTCCCCCACTTGCCGGCCCTTGTTTTTCTTCGGGGCACTCTGCCAGCCTCCGCAGTTGCTCACAAATCGCCCCACCTCTTGCTCCTCCAAGTGCAAACACCACTCTGCCTGGGCACCAGTCAAGCAGCCTGGAACCACCGCCCCAAATTGGGGTAAACAGTGATGAGAACTGGTGCAACATTCTGGATCTCCAGCTTTTTGAGAGATTGAAACTGAACAGCCTAAAACCTAAAACAACTACCATTCATATCCTAGTGATCCTCTGAGGGTCGGCCTGCTGCCGGAAGATGGAAACGTTCTGCGGGCGTTGCCGGGCCGTTGCCGGGCCGTTGCCCTGGACCCCCATTCAGAAGTTCTGCCAAAGTTGCCAAACGTTCTGCCAAAGACTCTTCAAGTTCAGCTGTGTAGATGGATTGCTCCAGCTGCGACATCGTCGCGGGATTCCTCAAGTTTTTTCTGCATCGATCTCTGCGCAGTTCGATCGACAGTCAAGTCTAGTTTAGTCGCAGGATCGACTGGAAAGGCTTGGTTGTTCTTTGTTGGATCATTCAGTCTATTTCACAGCGGCAATGGATCCGCTCTGTGGGCCCAAAAGCATAATGAGTTCCTATGATCACTTCTTCTCAATGACTTGGTCCACGGTCTCCTCCAACAAACTGGTTCGTGGGAATATTTAAGATTTCAACTCTTGTCATTTGCATCATGTCCACTTTACCCTCTGAGCTTCCCGTTACCACCTTGTGCCTTTGGTCAAACTTTTGTTCCGTGCTAGCCTCTTCTTCATCGAACAATGGGACCATGGCTCTTCATGCTCTCCTCCTTCGATTGCGTCTAGGTAGGTCCAAAGTGCGGCGGAACATGGTTTGCGGCACTCTGGTCGCAGCCGTTTGGGAAGGTCCTGGAGCTTCTGAGCATGAATTCTACCCACAAACTGGGGGTCGATCGAGTCATTTTGTACAATCCTGATGCATCCCAACAAATCCCAACAAATGGCTCCTCTCCTCACTCCTCACCTCCCAAAACTCTTTCACGTTTCGGGCATCGCTACGAGTCACGCCACTGGACATGCTTTTCCAGGCGGCTGGGGTCTGCACCGGCGAGGGATGCGCGGCGGCGCATGGAAGCGTCCTGGTAGGGAAGAGGTGGGAAGAGGGTTTTTTGGAGGGCACCACTAGTTGTGGCAAGTGGACAGTTCCTCACCACTCTTGAACATCTGACGGAGGTAGTCAAGCCTTTGCGAGAATCATGTCGGAGAATGCAGAACAATGTGTGAAGTGAAACCACTTGCTCCGATGGCAAGCAATCTGTGAACTCTACTTGGACCATCGAAGGGGTGCGCTCCCTGGAGATTGGATGCTGCGCCGGGTAGTGCAGCGACACCCAGACAGGATGCTCCTTTTTTCTTTTCTTTGTTAAACGTGTCTTACAGTACGAGTCCCCCAGAAATGGTTCTCCGAGTGCGGGGCTTCCACAAACGAACGAGATGAGGTCTACACAGTCTATACACCAAGTTCGGAAAATTTCACTTGAGATCTGACCACGTCCCGTCCTACAAGTGTCACGCCCTGCACCGCGGCCACTGCGCAAAGAGCACGTGCGGCGTTCCGCCACAGCACCCGGCGCGCGTTGAGAAAGATCGGCACATGGCGCGGTGGGGACTCAACCATCGTGTCGCGCGAAGCGGAGGTTGGGAAGATCAAGCAAGCTTGTTGGTACTACAAGGTGGATCCTGCGGGCTTTCTGATGGCAACAAGCATTTGCAACTTCTTGGCTTCCCCCCTCCGCCAATCCACAAGCAGGGCTTCCCCCAAAAGATATTGCCAGGGGCGAATGGACAGTAGGTGCGGTTGACAGGTCTTATTTCACCAATCTCTCTACCTACGTGTCCAACAGCTCCGCATGTCTGCGGCAAAAACGACCTTTCTTCGGATGTCTGAAGAATTGGTCGGTACTTGGCATCACCGAAAACAAGGTCAACAATGGGCGGTGTGCCAAGTACCGAAAGAAGTTGTCGTCTAGTGGGACACTTCACGCAAGGGGTTGTAGTGCAATTCAAAACCCCATAGGTCCATAGGTGAACTCTACGGCTTCCACGCTGGATATTTGGGTGTCTCTGTTGATCATTCAAAGCACCATTCAGTGCTGCATGGCTCTTTGAGTCTTTGAGACTCTTTGCGAACTTCCTCACTTATGAGCTTGGTAAGTGTCTGATCCATAGCCTGATGAACCAAAGCGCCAGTGCCAGTGAGGGAAGATGACTATGTCGCTCGATTGACCCAGGTGGTTCTAGGAAACATCAACATCCATTGACTGCAAGGCGCTGCAAGGCGCTTTGAGAGGTGGTTTGGCCCCCCAACACAACGGCCAAAGCTTCCAAGTCTGTGGCACTATGTGGCACTGTTGTTCACACAAGTTGCGGACTTCCAGCTCGGATCTTTCATGTTGCACTGTACGGCTATGCCTGCAAATAAGAAGTAGAAATAGAGTTTTGGGGTCGATGCCGATACCTCATGATCATCCTATTTAGCAAGCAAATTCCACCCTTCAAGGGGAGACTCCAAACTCAGGCAGTGTTCCCCTTTTTCTCATTCTGTCTGCAGCGGTGCGGCATCGAGTCTGCCCACAGTCGGCATCGGTGTCGCGGCTGGAACACGCCGACCAATGGCGACGTGAACTGGATGGAACACGGCGCCGCTTTAATACACGAGGCCAATAAATCGAAGGCGTCCAAATCTTCCTGCTGAGTAGCAACACCCAAGTCATGGATGCTGATCTCTTTGTGACATCGAGAAAGGCAGTTTCCCAACACTCAAGACTTCACCCAGAAAGCACAGGGACATACAGGAACTGCTATTGGGAGGTTTTCAACTAGCATGCTTTTGCGGTTACGGCAGGATTGGTCTTTGCATCTTTGCATCTGCAGTCCACAAACGTTGAAACCAGGACGCCACGAGCGCTGTTGAAGCCCCGAGATTCCGAAATTTGGCAGCCTTCCGGTGGATTTGCTAAGCTCAGCTCGGCTAAGAAGCATTTACTGAAGGCCTTGGACACTTCTGTAGACCAAGAACTCTACAATGCCTAAGGTATCTTAAGGTCCTCATCAAGAACTCTCCAAGATGAAGGAGAAACTACACTTTGATCAACATCCTCTTTGCTGTTTTTCTTTCTAGAATGAGGTGAGCGCAGAACATGGCCTAACTCTTCCTCGAGAATCCATTGTCAGGTGCTTCGGTGCTCTGCATGTGACGAGTGAAATCCACATCAAGGCTCGTGCACAGAGACGTAAATGGTTTGGCCGTTCAGTTCCCCACGATCGAAGGTCTGTACCGCCTGTGGAACACGGGTCCCCGCGTTCGTGGAACAGGATCGTGGAACAAAAAAAGGAATAGGAAGATCCGCCTCAAACTCCATGGATAAATGAGGCGTTATGACATGGGGTGTGTAGATCACAAACATGTATTGTGCGGATTGCATATTTGATGATTACGTGTTTCATATGGACGGTGAGGGAAACAAAGTTGTTGTTTTGATGTGCGGTGTGAACCCCAACGGTGGGAATTCCCAGTAGTCCACAAGGTAACTGGTCAAACAGTCCGTTTCTTCCCAAAGGGGTAGCATCTTCCTGGGTAGAAAAGTCAAAGTACATTCTTTTATCCGTTTTGAGCGGGAAATTCCAGTCCCAAACTCAAGAATGTACCAGGGCCTGGGTCGCCTTGGTTTAGATCGGCCCAGGTTGGTCTCTTGTAGCAGTGTCCATTCCTTAGCATTCCAACCATCATTTTTGTTTAAACCGAACAACTCCGAACAACGATTGTTTTTCTAAGGACTTTAGATTACAACACCAGCTCAACCTTTCTTTCGTGGCCTTTGAAGGCTAGGGTGTTCATTTCGTCCCTTTGATCCCTTCAATTTTGGCATCCGACGCATCGGACCTTCTTGGCGTGTGAGGAGTTGGCGAAGGTGATGATGGCAACTCCACGCTCCACCTGATGAGACTGATGACTGGGTGAACCGTGTAAGCGAAAATCATCGAGTGGGATGGAAGGAGAAGTGCTGCATTGACTGTTGAGAACATGGAAACAAATTGGACACTGGGTTAACAGATTTAAACCTATTTTTGACACTCCAGATGAGCCTTTCTAATTGAACGTGGTCAATTGGAATGAAGCTGAAACTAATGTGGTATTGGAAAACCGAACGTGTCCCTGAGGTGCCGAACACGATTGATGGAGACCCACGGACTCGGGACTGGAGTTACATTCATGTCAGTCCCACGGGGTAAATGTAACTATTCCAGTCCCACGGATGGTCTGGGATATATTATTCATACATATTCATCCTATCTCTGTTTCCTCACTGAGGCAGGGTCCGGTTTCACCTGCCCGGGGGGGAAAAAACACGCATGCTCTCAGCAAGCGTTGGATGAGCTGCGGTGGCTGTGTTCTCGTCCCCTTTTCCACCGAAAAGAACAAACAAACCTGTGTCACCCTGTTGGGACTGCGCATCAAACACCGAGAGAGAGAGAGAGAGATCATCAAACACCGAGAGAGAGAGAGAGAGAGAGGGAGAGGGAGAGGGAGAGACACACACACACACACAAAGAGGCGCCCCGTTGTATCCTTGCCGCGGTGGAAGAACGGGAAAGCACACGACGTGACGGTCGGGTCGGGTGTGCGTGGAGCAAACGCTCCGGGCCTCGCATTGGGTGACGCGGCCAATGTCCTCGAAGGCTTCCTGGATGTCTCTGTCTTCCAGGTTCTTCGGCACCTGGGTGTCTTGACGTCGCATGATGGGTGGTCGGCGGGTTTTCATGGATGAGAGAGAGAGGAATGGAGGAAAGACCGACGGACGGCCCTTTTTTGGGGTTGGTGGATGTACACATTCTGAAGATAAAAGCAAAATTAGAGGATGTAAAGACACTGATTCCAAATTAAATCAACTTACAACAACTAAAAAGCGATGCTCAAACATATAATGGAATAACACGTAGAACATCGTAAAGAACTAACCGTTAACCCCTTCCCCTTTGGATCCCATCAGGTGCGGTGCTTCCAATCCGGAGAACCCATCAGAATGCGGCCGCTCTCTTGAGCAACTGGGAAGTTGGTTGGCACATGGACCTGGAGATGGACGGGTCGATGCGTATCATTTATAGCTCTGTTCATTCGGGTATCCGCGCAATCAACCGCAAAAGGCCATCCATCAACCCGGAGAGGTAGGTTGGAACCCATCGAGGATGCTTTTCTCCCCCGAAACCATGCCCAAAGCATTGGTGGGATGATCAATAGTGATTAAACAACAACCACATCACAGCCTTTATACACCCTGACCAGTAGTGGTTCCATCTGAGTCTGAGCCATTCCCCAACTCCTTACGCAAAACACCCTTCATCCCAGTCCTGAAAGTGCCAACACCCAGAGAAAAAACCTTCCTCCTGAGAGAGCCAGTTCCCCCAAAACATGCTATTTGATAGTATAGTATATATATATACATATGAGGAGCCACTACTTTGACCCCAACATGTTTTGACAAATGTTGGACAAATGGCCTTTTTGCTTTACCCACTTAGACAGAATTTTAACATCGGGTTGGCCAGGATTCTCTGCTTCCATGATGTTGCAAGAAGAGCTTGCCGGAGGATCAACCCTATCAACGAAGCATCCGAATTGGAGTCAATCGGAGTCCCCGAACCGCTGGACCGTACGCTGACGCTCTCGACCTTGGGGCATCGGTTCGATTTCCGGCGCAGAATGTGACACGCTCCATGTGACTTCTCTGCGGGAAAGGCACGTTGCAGACCCGGATGGTCTTCCGGACCTTCTCTGCCACCTTTTCCACTCGCTCCACCTGAGGAGATGTATTTCTCAAGATTGGGAGTGGACTTCCGGTTTGTGGAAAAACACACCGACACTCAGAGTCTTTGCCAATGAACTGTTTGCTCGAAAGGACAATTTAAAGATCTTTAAAACATATTTTTTAAGTCTCACACGAATAAGCAATGAAGGGTTCTTTTGTATTTGTATTTGCTGAGGGATGGGGTTACCATTTCAGTAGGTCTCGTATTGAGTGTTGGATCTGGGAACTGACTACATGGCAAGCAGCCTCACTCCACCAAACATCCAGTCATTCACCTATTTACCCCCTGGCATCATCCAGTTCAAATCCCTCAACTCCTTTCTCTCCCAGGTCCACACCCCTCACAACCCAGCTGGCCCCCCGAATCATGCGCTCCTCTGGGCTTCCCCGACGCGCTCCGGACGCTCCCGCTCGCGCGGGGCGAAGCGCTCGCGCGCATCACGCTCGGGGAGGCGCTCGCGAGGCGTCTCGCGCTCGGGGCGCTCGAAGCGCTCGCGCTGGGCCCCGAGGACCTGGGAGAGCGACGGCGGTCGGACCGGGGCTGGTGGATTCGACCGGAAGGCTGTGTGGTTCGTTTGCCGGAAACATGTGGCTGGCTTGCCAGATGGACCTGGCCAAACTTGTGGGGCAGGAATTACATGGAATTGGGCCCTTCAGAACTCATAGATTTGGAAGATCCAACGAGTTACTTCGACAAGAGCATCCACGCCAACCCATGGATTCCTTTTGCAGGTTTTTGACCCGTGTCAGGGCCTTATCAGGGTCACCAAATCTGGTTCTCTTGGTGTGATCCAGGAGTTCCATGTGGGTGTTCTGAACTTGAAGGGTAGAGGTACCCCCTTATACACTTACTTGGGACTAAACACCACCCGGAGCTGCTCCAGGCTGTGTACTTTTTGAAAGCCGCAGCTCCCACTGGCGCCACAATCTGGGGTCTGGACACGCTGCACCGGTGCAGCAGGTGGGGCCCTGCGCGAGAGGGACTTACTGAAGTGGAGTTCACCCCTTGTTCGTAAAGGAAAGTCGTCTTCCAAGGGACCATGTTCATCCATGTCATCCACTTCCATGCGATGTGTTTCTCAGACTTAGTAGCTTTCATTCTGAAGGGAACCGATTCGCAGGTTGCGGCCCGGCAAGGCAGGGTTGTCAAACCCCGTCTTCGTTCACTGCCGGATCGACCTGGTGTTGACAGCTTTTGAGAAATGTGTGAAGAACATCTGGTGTCGACCCGTTTGGCATACGTCAGGTTTAGAGGGGTTTGGGCTTCCCGGGCTTCCCGCAAATCTGCCGGATGAACAAAACCCAAAACCAAGGCGCCTCTCTCTTAGCACAATCAGACCTGCCCAGATGGATACAGCACCGATGAGCCTTTCACCCTCTTCACCCACCCTCTGAAACCCCAACACCTCAAACCTGGCAGAATGTAGGGCCTGATACACGGAATGGCCGTGAATGGCCCTGAAGACTCGGATGACGAGTCTTCCAAATACCAAGCAGGTGGTGTCTTCCACTTACCGATTTCAGGGATCCGGTTCACTCGGTAAGGCGACCTTCCAGGTCTGAGACCTTCACCACGCGGCCGTCCCCGGCCGAATGAGGCGAAGCGTACGTAGAAAAGAAGTCGACTGAGGTTCTAGTCGGGGTGGATCTGGCAGGGGTGACCAAAGAAGGTGCTCCAAACCCATCAAAAACATGAAAAAACCACACCTCCAAAGCCTTGGGTGGGCGATACCCTCCACATGCTTTCGAGGTATGGAGACGGCCCATCCAGGAACTCCCCCCGCGTTTTTGCGTCCACGTGAACACCGCCCATCTTTCATGCGGAGATCGCTGTGGAGTCAAGTCAAATGCCGCAGCCACATGAGGCACCACTGAAACTCAAAACATTGCTTCTTTGCACAAATTTGTGTGGTTGCTCTGGCCGCTGCGAATGTAGAAACTAAAGGAAACTGAATTCCGTCTTGGTAATCTAATCATATTCATCATATAACAAACTCGCAGCTGTAAGCTGTCCGACAAAATCGGAGAGGCTCATGTCCGCTTTGGCTGACTCGTTACTTGTTCTCCATGCAACTATTCTGAACCACTTTGGAGTCCAGTCTTCTACCCTACCCCAACTCCAGTTTCTTCTCTACACTACAATGTTTCTCTTTCAGTGACGTTGCATTTTAATGATGCTCAACACATTTCTTCTCCTTCAACCTTCAACAGACTTCTCGGACCCGCTAGACCGCGCTCTGTCGCCCCAGCACCGGCAGCGCCACCACGGGGGGTGGACCGGCACCGTCGCGCCGCGCCGCGGCGGGATCGAGGGCGATGGCCGCGCCCACGGAGCCGGTGGCGAGGAGGATGGCACAAGCCGCCAGGCTGAACTCCAAACCTCCGAGGGTGTCGGTCAAGTTGTAGGTGGTCATGGGGAGGTGGTCACGGATGTGTCGCATGAAGAAGAAGCTAGCCAAGCTAGCTACTAGTAACAAGGGCATCACTACTAGTAGCACGTTGGGGGCAGTGCCTGGCAGGGTCCACATTGGGATCGTTGGAGTCCTTCTTTGTGGGGTGGGGGTGGGAAGGGTGGGCAGGAAAAGGTAGGAACTGGTTTCTGTACACCCGCAGCCACTGTTAGGGTATGATGCTGTATTAATTTAGCATTGTTCTATAATTGTTATATTGTATTCAGGGAGTGTTCAAACATGTTCAGACCTGACCCCCACCAAAAGGGCATGATCCAGCACTGAGGGGAATCAAAATCGATTCACGTGGCCCTATGGCATCCTGAAAGTCCAGGGTTCACGTCAACAACAACTCAAACCATGGGCATATGGAATAGCTCATGGTGCCAAAAGAGAAGCACTGAAAAGGCTATCTGGTTGGTGAATGGACTTGTATCCATGATTGGGCCATCCATTCCCAAATGGAGGTGAATAAATATATAACACATGTTTAAAACAACCACTCAGATAGATGGACCAGGCTGCCAAAGTTGTGTCTTCTCAAGAGCAACGCAAATCAAACTCTCGATCTTGCATGGGCTGGGAGGCTTCGAGCTCTCCCAACAAATACATAACTTAGTCATACTTAGCCCTTCTCCAATCCGTGACTCATCTAAGTGAGAATCTACTACAAACGACTTTGGAACTGCTGACATCTGCTTTGGCTATGGTGGGGTGGGGTTGGGGTGGTCCATATGAGTCGTAAACGGAGGCCCTGGCTGACCAGGCCGGCCCGCCTGGTGCCAAGACCAGCCAGGCAATCATGGCTGCAAACAACGCACCAGCCAAATGCAATCCTGGATCAGCAAACTGCTGATACTGTACCCCAATCACCAGAAACAAACATACCAGCACCCTCCAAGAGGTGTTTTGTGGTGACAACAGGTTCCAGAAACCAGCTGGTAGGGCTTCAAAACAGCCTATTGCAGGGTCATGGTATTGGATTTTCTGCTAGGATGAGCCCTGACCTCCTAAAGTGACCCTTTACACATGACACAGATTGAGGGACGTCACAAGAGACACTGGACGTAACAGGATGAACATACCCTCGGGATCCACATACATCGTCTTTTTGGGATGTCAGGACCCCTTTCAACGGCCACCAAACATGGTCGATCCTTTCTTCGGAACTGCCTGCACGGAGCTCCTGTGCGCTGCAAAGCGTCCAAAACGGAGACTGGCTGACCATCGAACATGAACAGAATAGAGTACCAGGGAGGTTGTCCCACCAGGGTCTGGAACCCCAGGTTCAGTTCTGGGCCATATGGCCTTTTCCATGTGTTGGTCCCGAAACCACTGAGGGATATGTTCCTTCCATGCGTGGGACGAGGTGTCACACGTTCTCCTCCGGTCATCCACCAAGCGTCGAAAGACCTGGCAGGAGGGTGTGAAGAGGCTCCCCACTTGGCCAGAGCCATCAAAGTCCAGTCCTTTCAGCAAGAACAGCGAATCGGAACGATGTTGTGATTGACAATGCCGCATGCAAAAATAACTGGGCCCCCCCAAATAGTGACATTCTGGGACAACATGGGTACCTGGTATGTGTGTCTTTGTCTCTGTGTGTCTAACATCTGCAGCTTCTGTGTACCCCCAAAGAATATGAATCGACAGGTGAATGAATCTGTGGTTTCGATTGACAGCTCAGAAGCAAACAGAAACTGATGGTTCGGATCTTCGTTTCGTCCACGTTCAGGCGATATGACCTAAGAGACCCAGACGCCACGGCGTTTACATGTGGTTTGCCTTCCCCTCTCTCAAGGCGACCCCAAACTTTGGGTCGTTTCAGGTATCTTGCATCCGTCAGCACGACGCAACAGGTCGTTGTGCAAGTGTTTGGACTTTCTGGCTCGCCACTGGCTGAATTCATCAGGTCCACACCAAGAGGTAACCCGAACGTTTCAGTGTTTCAAAACCAATATCTCCTGTCCCTCAAGGATTGTCATTGATTCATGGATTATCTGATTATCAAGAAATGTCAAGGACTGAAGAAATTCTTGCCAGCACAAAGCCTCCAACACTGTGACACACAGCGCACAACACACATACACAAAGAGGGGCGGATCCCATGGCTGTCCTGCGGCTGCGCCAATCTGCATGGGTTCCGCGCCCGCGGAAGCACTGGCACCGCAGGCGGCAGCCAAGGCTTGCAGGAGGAGCCTCAGTTTGCCACCAGAAGCTTAACCTGTTCCAGTTTGGCAAAGGCTTACAGTAGGTGGCTCTTCATGGCATTACCTGGCCGTGAGGTCAGAAAGATCGCGAAATCCCCCAAAAGCAAATGCATTTTTGGATGGAGTGGCTAAATTGTTCTGTTCTCCGTTCACATAGAACATCATAGAAATCATAGAAACCTACCCTCCGAAAGCAAGTAGATTGAACCTACCCCTGTCTCTTTCGGCTTTCTGTGGTTTCATTGGTTTACCGGTAAAAGCAGTCCAGGTGAGCCCAGATGCATCTGCTAATTTTTCAGCTAGGGTCCGTCTTGTCCGGAAAATCGAAAGACACAATGTTTGATCTCTCAAATCCATAGACGGCAGCAAAACGATCTTGTGACCTTGTAAACATACCCCCACCCAGCAAAAGGGCCCAGATTCCCTTCATACTATGGCGTGGTGTGCTCAAAAGCAAAGCCCTTCTTCCAGTGTTACAGAATGACATTTATGCCTGAAGAACGAGATCCCTTAGATCGGATGAATCATATTCAGGCCGGAAAAACGAGTCACCCACCCTGCCCAAACTGATCCTTTCATGGCCACAGTCACTGCGGCGCGCTCTGCTGCCCTGCGCACACCACGGCGGCAGCACCCGCAGCCGAGGCCGAGGCGCCGCTGGGGCGCTCCAAGAAGAGCACCAAAGCGCCAGCGAGCAGGGAGGACCTCGAGCAGCGTGGGGTGAGTAGACCCACGAATCTTCACGAATTCTGCAGGGTCACGTGAAGACGAGTGGATGAGTAGACCCCTCCAACTTGCGCCTGAGAAGACTTGGTGTGGACATTTTTCAAAGGGATGATGTCTGACAACTCCGCACAATCCATTCAATGGCCTGGTCTTACCTTCTGAGCATTGGGCCGTTGGATGAAAGGATCCTTCGACCTCTTGGCCTGCTATCCTGCTTCAACGCTTTGATGGGGAACCCGCAATGCCAACAAACAGCAGCAACTCGGAGATAGACGTGGTCTTGAAACATCCAACTCGAAGACACAAGAGACATCAAGAGATCCGTTCATGCGTGGACAGTGCTTGATTCCATTCTCTTCCCCTGTATGCGCCGCTTCGCTCGCACCGGGGCTCCATGCAGGGCGGCCACAGCCGCCTGGCCCAGGTGACAAATCTTCACCGGCCTCGGGCGTCGATTCTCGGGCGCCGCTGGTTTCACATGGTCTAAGACCACGGAAGGAGCCTCATGTCGTTGAGGATCAATGACCAAGACCAAGACCATCATCACAGTTTTTCACTTCGTGCTATATAGAAATACGTCAAAATAAATGTTTCGAAGTTTCCCAGACTCCGTAATACCTTTCACACTGTGACCCCGCCTTCGGACACCGACACCCTTTCGGTGTCAAGAACAGAAACTGGAGTCTCCATAGATCCTTTACTTCCTGCCTTTCTTGCGACTCGTCCCAGGGGCAGTTCGGGGTCGAACTCCTCCTCGAGCTTCTCCAAGGCGCCGTTTGGAAGGCTCACCGGAGCCATGGCCGAGGCCACCGTGGGGGAACACCCCCGAGCGCAACGTTGGCACTCTCAGGCCTCAAAAGGTTTTTGTCAGGCTTTGTGTGGTTGCTGCGGACAGTGTGGCGCAACATTCTATCAACAGTCTATCAATTAGCATTGTTTACATTAACTATGTTTTGTGTTCTATCTGAATTTATGCAACAACCTGCATTGTTCATATGACATGAGGAAGCTGCAAACTCACGATGGATTTACAGTTGTATGTTATGTGTGTATATATATATATCTATTTTGTTTTAGATAGAACTTCTTGGAATCTTCATGGGGATTCTTTGGATTCACTTGGACAATTTCATTCCAAATCGATTCGCTCGCCACATGTCGTCTGGTGCTTTCTCGTCCAATCCTTTGAGCCGCCGATCCTTTAAAGAACGCAGTGTCAGGCCCACCGGAGAGGCGGAGAGGCTGACCGCATTGGCAGTCTGATCAGTCTGTTAGGGGATCCAAACACCCATGTCAGCCCCCAAATCTTTGAGCATGTGACAGAAAAAGACATGTTGAAGGAACAACTTCAGCCGTACTGTTGCCAGACAAACCAAAGTGAAAAAGGAACCAGTACCAGTACCATACTGTACCACCATGCCCTTCACTCCAACATTTCTGGACTGACTGGACTGGGTGTGGTCCTAGTCTGGCTACAATCCTACCCACCATGTCGCAGGGTCACATCTGGTCCGATACTTCAGCACACCTCGACTTCTCGCTGAAGAGATCGGACCAACATCGGCGACGCAGGGCGAGTCCATGACCATAAAGCATACCTATGCATATCACATATATATATATATTAATATAGATAATATATAGATATATATCACAATAGACACCCATCAAAAAAGACTCTTTTCGGGGCTATTATTAAACACCCCTTGGGCCCCTTGAGGGCCCTGGTGTATATATATATATTATAATTACTATTATGTACGGCAGTATAGATCCATCTTGATTGGTCTGGAGTCCAGAGATCATGAAGATGAACTTCGCATTGTTCAACGGTTCTTGTGGCCAAAAGTTGTTGCAACGGTGACAACTCCTGAACCACAAGCAAAGGCTACAATCCGGCCTGTCCCACTGCAGCATCGGCTCAGGCCTTTGCACAGCATTGGGACATGGAGGAATTAAAGCTATGGTGTTTTTTAAATGTTATTTTTTGATCACGACTACCCTGACTACCCTGACCTTCAGTTTGACAATCTAGGATTGCCTGGTTCCACTTGTTTTGTTGCATTTTCTTATGAGGGTAACTCACCTACCCCTGACAGGGTAGGTATGAGTTAGCTAAACAGGTGTACAATCGCCCGCCAAACTGCAACAAACTGCTAAAGCCCGCCGTTTGCTCGCCGTTTTCTTTCGGCTTTGATATAAACAGAAGCTGGAGAGCTGTTTCCGATCGCCACACCGGATGGGGTGTGATGGCTTCGTCAGCTTCGTACCGTCTGCGCACCGTCCCCAAACAGTTTTGACATGTTTTGACCAGTGGTCTTTGTGCGGTCGTTTGGACCCCATGATCGACCAAACATCTTCGGGAGATGTCGGAAAAGAAGGTTCAAGTCTCGTGAATGCGGGATGGATGAGGTCGTAGACGGTACGATACATCAAATCGACGTTTATTTTTTTCTTTGCAGCCTTGAGAGGTCCGTGACCGCAGGCGAAATCATCAGGCTGACTACACTATCAAACTAACCGGGTCTTTGGATCGGGACAAACTTGACGCTTGCTCAAGCACTTTTGGTCTGAGCCAAGTTTGAGTGATGTCACCTGCCCAAATCCGGTGAGACCCTCCTTCTTTTTCCTCTGATTTCCTCTGGTTCGCCCAAACATATAAGTGATTTCACCTCAAATCGGATCATTGAGTTCTTCCACCGGGCGAATCCACACCATGAAACGGCACCCGTTTCCTCCCCCCCGGTCGGTCCGTTGAGCTCCCCAGCCGCCGGTACGGTGCGGGTCGAGCACCCCAAACAGGAGCGGAGGGTGCACTCTCCCAAGGAGCCTCACCCGGCAAGGTGGAAACTGTGGTCATGTATACTATCTATCTGTCTGTTTCTATTACAATATAACTTGTATATATTCATATATATATATATATTAATATATATATATTAATATATATATATTAATATATATATATGTTCTAAGAACTCAACAACTATCCAGCTGTGATGTAGGACGTCTTGAACAAACATCGATGCTTTCCGGGGCTGCACACGCTTCGACCGTTTGCAGGTTTGCAGCGACCAAACATCGAATCGGCAGAAAGGGCTCCAATCACCGAATGCACCGGGCGGCGTGCTCCAGAGTCCTTCCTTTCGACGGTATCCAGACAGGGATCCGAGCAGTCGAAACTCTATCGATCAATTGGTCGGAAGGGGATCCAATAGGTCATCTGGATCGACTCTTAGGGAAGGAGATCGGAAGATGCAGGGAACCTCCAGGACATGAAACTTGATCGAACATTCCTTGCTGGCCGACGAGTCGCAAGAAGAACTGAGAACCTACCTCGCACCTCGCGCCGGGATGTGTGCCTCCCTAGCCCAGCTGCCCTTCCCTGCTCCATAGCCATAGCCTGGGTCGCAGGGCTTGGGGGAAGCTGGATCGTTTGATGGGAAACGTCAGCAAATATCGGCCGAATCCGACCAACGAACGAGTTTTCTTTGACGCAACGCTTAGACTCTCGAGACATGGGAGTTCCAAGCCCCGGAATCCTTGAACCAGTTTTTAAAGACATGTGTAAAATACATCCCCACTCACCTGTACATGAAAGCCATCATTGAGTTTCACCCACACATTGATCGCCCTTCCAGAGTCACAAGAGCCACAGAAACCAATCACCAGGGAAAAAACACATCTTTAAGGATCTCAGTATGATGCATAGCATGTTCACGCTGACTTCCACATTTTGACCCAAGGACCCATGAAAATCATCCTGCAAGAAACAACCGCCTGAGCGCTTCCTCGTGATCCTGAGAATCTGGGCTCCACACCACCGCCACCGCCACCGCCGCCTCTTCCCGACGGTCCATAGCCTCGCAGTTTCCGGCGGGCGCGGTTCAGGTGCAGTGGGCCACGTCGTTGTGGGCGGTTGTGAAAAGTTCTTCCAACGCCCAAAAGCGATCGTGGACGTTCTCCACGATCGCTTCCAGTTGGAGGTGTCGATGTGCAGGGTCGATGTGCCCGAACATTGCGCCCGAGAATCGATCGATCACGCCGCACTCTCGACAGGGACTCGTCGGCAGAAGAATGGCATGAGCCGTATGGGATCCTCAAAATTCATGGCACGTGTCGTCCTGGGGAGCGTCGCTCTCTTTCAAACCAACCAAAGTCATCGCCAGGAAGCGCCATGACGGCCCCAGAAAGGGTAAAATAGAACACATCGTGACCCAGCAAAAGACCGAACAGTATAGATCTCGATCTCCACTAAAAATGCAAAAGGAACAGCTTCTACGTATTTGAACCTGTATTTTCCACTCCCCATCTGGGATTTTCGGGTCGCTTCGCGACAACAACCGCCAGCCCCAGTGGTTCTCAAAGAAAGGGTAAAAGAAGTCTCTTTTATCACTCTATTTTTGGACCCTCTTGCAAATTGTTTAACCGTGTCTTACTTGCAATTTGCAAGCAGTGTTGGATCTACTTTTCGACCCCCTTGAAATAGTCGATAAATAGAATTACTATCTACAAAAACTAAAGACATTGGCAGGCTGAGACACCAATAAAACATACAGGTGGTGCCCACAGTAGATGAGTTGTGATTTCATTACCAGCCAGAAGAAGGGATATTTAAAAATATGCAAAGAACCTAAAACCGCTCCTACAATTGCATTCCCCAACCAAATTCTCCACATCACCTATCTCAAGTCCACCCTTCACCCATCCGTGCTCCACCAATTCCTTCCAAATACCCACACCCTTTCTTACAGTGATCGGCCAATCTTGCCATTCCAGCAAATTGAGCACCTCCTCGATTTCACCAGAGTTGACAGAAATGCACTTCCGCGAAACAATTTTGCTTTTGCGGGCCGTTGCCGAGAGCACTTCCGAATGTTCCGGTGTAAGTACGGTAATAGCCACTATGTTCGATGTGGGAGGCGTGGTCTGTGGTGGAGGCAAATGCCTTGAAGAGGCGAAAGGCGTGTGTGCAGGAACTCATCACCACTCCTTCCCCAACCACCTTTGCGGTACAGAAAACTACGGTAAACATAGGGTAAGCCGGTAAACTGTATTCCAATCTACAGCGAGTGGTCAAACACACACACACACACCAAAGGGCCCTGGTTCAGTAGGTTGTACAGAAACATCTTTCAGTTCGCAAGAGCTACTAGGCCTGATGTGGCTCGCTTCACTATTTCCTTATATAGAAGGAATGTCTTGACATGGGCTTGGCCGAGGATCAGGCACTCTCGTGCAGGCAGATTTTGGTCCAGGGGTCACTGAGAACAATGTAACTAGTGAATACTCCAAACCCATGGGGTGTCTCGCAGTACAAGTTGATCTCTAATCTGTGGTTGTCGTTTTTGCAAGCAAAGGCATCTGCCCCAGTTCAAGCGCCTTCATCATTCCAGCCACCTCCTCCGCCCTTGCTGCTGCCCTTGCCACCTGGACGGTCAAGCAACCTGCGAACACAATTTCTTGTTTTAAAGGTAACGAACCCTCATTCATTGATTGTTGTGTTATTTTTGGTTTAGCTGCTTAGTAAACACATTGAGGGAGCTAGGATGCTACCATGGAAGACATATGTCACATTTGGGCCAGAAACTTCCATTGGACCATCCAATCCAAGGATGGATGGATCACATGGGCAACATGGATCCTGTTTTGTGAGTTTTGAAGTTGTTTTCACAACTTGCTTTATCAAAGACAGTGTGTGAACCATCAGCTAATCCTCTAGTGACTGATATTCGAACATACTTGTTGCGGTCAGCATAATACATGACTGTCTATCCAACCAATCCCAGGCTCCATGTGAATCTCCCATAAATACTTGAACTAGACTCTCCGAACCTCCTTGACGAACTTGACTCTCACTCCAAGGGCTCCAAAAAGCCATCAACCAGGGACTACATAGATCGATGAGCTTGCCGACGGGTGTGCTTTGAGGTCTTTCTTGGAGTGCCGGAGTCACGCTCCAAAACCACGCTCCGACCCCATGGATCCATCCCACTGGGCACCTGCCTACCCACCCTGATTGGCACCAGACTCTTGATAACTAAAAACATCCCAGACATGAATTGTAACACCTCCGGTTATTGATCAACAGTCTACATTCCTAGGAACAAGAAGCTACTAGGTGGAGGCCATCGCTATTAGGTTGGAGGCCATTCCTACTATGGCAACAAGAAGCTACCAGTAACACGTTCTCTTGAAAAACACTTCGAACATTTCTTAATTCATCCCCCTGGGCGCTCCCCGCCACTCCCCCGCCGCTCCCACGCCTTCCCAGCCCCAGTCATCCCAATCGTCACGGCGATCACGCCACGTGTCGCGCATGTCGCGGCGATCGCCTCGGCGGGTTTGGTCTAGGCCGAAGACTGAGTCAACTTATTTGGAGCTTTCCCGAAAGAAGACATCCCAAACCCAACCTAATCCTCCGTGTCATGTACTACTAATAATTTGTTGCATGAATCACCCACACACCAAAATAGTAATTCTTATAAATCTTGGATTGGCTTAATTTCCAGGGATCGGGAATTCCAGGGATCTGGAACCAAATTATCCACTTTTGCTCACGAACTATGCAGTCTGTTGTCCTACAGCGATCATGAGATCTGTGTTCGTGACACTGCAAGAGGCGCGGTCAGACTTGATGTCGGGTGTGGGAGTCCTACAGAGCTGTCCAAGCCACCTTCCCCAACGGTCTTCCATGTGATATTTACCTACATTGACCCTCAAAACATCTTAAAACAACATAAAACAACCCAATGTAGACAAATACACTCCCTGAAATACTCATGGAAGTCAGCAAATTGCAAACGGCCCCTTGGATGGGATTGACCATTTTCTATCCGAATACCAAACAGGTGGTGCCATCCACTTCCACAATAATCATAATATTCCAGGACGTGTATACTGTATATGTATATATATATATAAATATATTAATTATATGTACTTGAAGTATCTTGAAGCACTCTGGTCCCACAGATCATTTCCACCCATGGATTATTGGCTTCGTTGCCTGAGCTTCCGGGCTCCACTCGTCGAACGCACGGCGCCTCTCGCCCTTGCCACCTTTGCCTCCGCCTGCCGAAGGGCGTTTGGGCTCAGGATGGCGAAGGGCGTGTGTCTTTCCATTGTGATTCTTGTTTCTAATAGCTTCTTGTTACTACTAGTAAGGCACTTGTTACTAGAAGCAATGCCCTTTGCTCCTAGTAGCTTCTTGTATTGTGATTCTGGTTTTTCTTGTCTTCTTCTCAGCTTTACAGATCGACTGGGCAGGTCGGGCCCATCCGAATCTTCGTCTCACGGAGCTCACGGTCTCAAGGATTTTCGTGGACTCAACGGACTCAACGGAGACTAAGCTAGACACCCTATAACAAGTACCTCAGCCGGATTCCAAAACTGGTTCTGACCACAGACAACGACTGCTCCGATCCGACACACCCCACAGCCCGAGTCTTCGACTCGTTTGGTATGTATCCCCAAAAGAAAGCGAGATCTACTCACCTTAAAATGACTTTTCAGGGCCCCCCAAATCGATATTACTTCCCCCAAAACGAAACACCGAAAGCCAGACATCAGAGTCGTCACTTTTTCCAGCGCTCCGCGGAGACCACGGTCCGCCTCGTTCACTGGACCAGTCCGAGCGGTTTGGGCCATCCCAGGCCTCGCACCGAGCCAATCTGAGGTGCCAAGGTATGGGGTCAGTCTGTAGTTGACTTCAACAAGTTGACTTAGACAAGTTGACTGTTGTGTATTGTTGTGTCCTTTCCAGGTGACGTGTCTTGTTTTCTCCTGAGTTGAGGTATCTTTGTTCGTGAGCCTTCTTCCAGGTCTGAGAGACAAGCTTGTTTCGAAGAACCATGTCAGGAGCCCCGAGCCCGAAGAGTGAGTCTGAGAAGGTATGGGATCAAAAGAACAGCTGGAAAGGATTTTGTTTTGGTGCAAGTGCATGGTCAATTTCATCTTCATTGCTTTGTTAGGGTTTTAGAAGGAGTTGACACAAGGTTTTGTGTGTCAAAAGGAAGTGTGGAGTTGATATTTCTCTTCTCCAGAAGCTATATAATACTTATAGACACCCTCAGTCAAATGATGTTTGGCAGCTTCTTTGGCTCATCTCTACTTGATCTTGCCGTCTTTGTGTTTCGACCTCCGGCCTTGGCCGTCCGCGTGCCTCCCCAAAAGTCCTCCGCGGTGCGAAGCCGGGTGTGGCCGGTCGGATGTGATGGGAGCTTTGGACTCAGCAATCGTTTTTATGTGTTCATTACATATTTCCCCAGATAGCAACAGCTATGGGGTTCTTACTTCAAATAACAATGAGCTGGCTGTGCGCGTAGTGGAGACAGATGGGGCCTATGCTGGTATAATTTTCTTTTTCATTGGCATGGGCAATGGGATGGCATGAGTAGATACCAAGATTGCGGGTCACTCTCCAAGCCTCATGACTCATTTTTGCTGGGAGCATCACTGACAAAGATGTCCACTACCACAAACAAAAAAAGCAACAAATCCACCAATCTGTGCTCAGGTTTTTCTTCATGCAGTGGATGTGGCATTTACTGATACAAGGCTGGATCCGGGGTCTCCGCTTTCTTCTTCAACCACGACCAAAACGGAGGGAAGTATTGTCGAAGAAACAAATGGTACACCAAAATACCTGTCTTCCTCCAACGTCTCAGCCCAAAGTGGGCCAAGTGAAGCCACCTCACGATTGGGCTTAACGCTGCTCAAGGTATCTGGGACCAACAACATTTAATGAAGTATGCTAAACATATTCGCTGGACACGAGGCTGAATTTTGCAGATGAACCTCAGAAAAGGACCCTGAAACCAGAACCGCTTCCCCGCGCGCAGGGCGCCGGCGCGCGGGGCGCCGGTCCTCCTTTTGGGAGGCTCGTGTGGCACCGCGGCCGCGCACCGCTCGGACCTGGAGAAGAGGAAAGGACCCGTGAGGAAACGACCTTCGAACAGAGCTATTTGCTCCTAGTAGTAAGGCCAGGAGCCCCGTTCGTAGCGTCCTTGCTCCTAGTAGCGATGCCCTTGCTCCTAGGAGCAAAAATAGAGGTCTAGTTTTAACTTTCAGCTACTACTCCAAAAAAATCCCAAAAAACCTCTTACTCATTTTGAGGTAGTTGGAGTTCTGAGGACAATGTTCAGACCAGGTCCTCTATGACACCTCTCAGGCAAAGACAAGTTGAAAGATTCCAGTGTAAAGCCATCCCAGAAATAGGACAGTCTGTGCACTCATGGTTTCCATCCATCCGAGCACTGTGTAGATGTGTAATGGAAGCCGCAGCCATGCACAAGTTATCACAAGCCGGTGAAGCTATTGGGAGGAGACACCGGACCACCGAACTATGATGGCACCACACTGAGGGATGTCCCATCTGTAAAGACACCTCCGGACATGGGATGCCCATCAGTCCTGGAAAATCTCAAGATCGGACGAGGCCAATCTTACAGCCACTGACAGTGGCAAGCCCCCGCCTGTGTTCGCGCAGATTGCTTGGTCTGCTTCCGAACCTGGGAATCTCCCGCCACGAAAGCTGCACTGCGGGTACTGCGGGGAGTGTGTCTTAAGAATGTCCAAGAATCAACGGCAACACCATGAGATGACATCTGGGAATCTGAAGGAACCCAAACCATCCATGGGACCGGCTGGCATATTTTTACCTACATTGGGGTGATTGAACAGAGGTCAACGTAGGTAAATAGTCAAGCATTACACAAGACCAGGAAGCGAACATTGAAGAGGTTCCGAACGTGATAAACAAAACAAAACAAAACACACCTTAAGCCTTTGGGACCGGCAGGACAGAGAAAAACACATAACGGAGATATCGTAAGACTATGATTTTTGTAGCAGTGCTTAGTTTCCACCCTAGTAGTGATGGCCTCCTAATAGTGATGGCCTCCAACCTAAGATCGATGGCCTGGGAGGTCCCGGACTGGGCCACCATGCCCAACGGCGCCAAGAGTGCAAAGGCAGGGCGGGATTTCACGTTGTTGCTGTTTTTTTGGGCGGTTACGAGGGAGTGGCTCCTATTTTCCGATGTCATTTCAACCAAAGAAGACCATTGAACTAATTCAACATTGGAAGGATGCTCTTAAGCGGAAAAAACAACTCAACGAGTATCACCCAAAAGTTGGAATCAACTGGGATTGCACCCTGGAAGGTCCAAAGACCACAGCGGCTAGAGGCATCTTGTGGTGATAGAACACCCTCTGATTGACAGCTGCCGAAGAACGGTAGTTAATACATTGAACCACTATGACCTTTCTTTTGGAGGACCTAGCACTGAGACTAAAACAGTGCCTTTTCTGATCAAAACAAGTGTTCTATAGGTATTATACAGCGATTTAGCGGCTGAGACTGGGGTATGTCATGTGTTTCACAGCCTTTCTGAGAAGCGGGGTGACTCTAGGGTGCATTGCTCCGTCACTTCGGTGACTTCTCCCCCCTCTCCGTTGCTTCGCCACGCGGCTGCTCGAAACAACCCCACATCCTGCGGCCATGGCACCATCTGCCTTTGCGCCACCCTCTGGCGGAAACCTGGTGCCCCAGAAACCCTCCTCTCCCGGTGAGGCAAAGAGAGGTGGAAAGAAACGGGTGCCAAATTACAGTCTCCAGAACCACCTGGTGGTTGAGGGCTGACCAAATGTCAACCATCTGGCCGAAAATACCTGCGGGATCCGCAAACAGGGATGTGGCATGGGGGAAGCTTGAGAGCTTAAACAATTGACCAACAAACATGTGGAAGGGGGCCCTTCTGGCTGGTTCGGTTCATTCGGAACATTGCCTTCCCTCACCTTTCGTCGGAGTTTCTTGGTGGTTTCGGCAACTGTAGTTTGTGGTGGCTGAAGTCTAGCTGGTGACAAAATGATGCACTTTTCTTTCTTTCTTTCGTTCTCTCTCTCTCTCTCTAGGAGGTTTCCCTTCTTGCGCATTCTGCAAATAGAATTATGGTTGCCAACCCCTTTTCAACCACCCCAACTCGCAGGCAATCTGCAGTGCCATGGATTGTTTGGATCGAAACATAATGCAATTCCACACTGAGAAGCTAATATCTGCTTTATCGCACTCACTAAAGCCAACATGCTCCTTTTTGAAACGCTGCGCATTGCAGAGCTCTGATATGGCACAAACAAAACAATTGCCAATGGCGATTCAATCCAAAAACCACACACACACAACATCACGATACTATCACAATACTTGTGACCCCAAAAAGGCTCCCAGCATCTCCCAGCCTTCCCCCTCGGTTGAGCTTGTTTTTGGGTGGAAAGGGGGTTTAGGCGGTAGAAAGGTGTTCACCACCTCTTGCGAAATCGCTGGTCTGCCTCCGCGTCCTCGAAGTCCCGGAACTCGCTCACGCTTCATCTGAGTGCAGCGGAGTGCTTCGGTCGAGTGCAGTGGGAAAGAACGGGACATACTGTTTCTGGATGGTCTTAGGGTCTAAGCTTCGATGGAATGTACGATGCCAAGACTGCTGTGGAGTGCACATACCTGAGAATTGGGGTCTGGATGGACTGGTCGAGGGAGTGAGGTGCGTGCTTCAGACCAACATCTTCTGAGACCTATGAAAAACGGGCGAACGCACCTGGGCTGACCCGCTAAGCAGGTCCAGTCATCTCGTTGTGACACGCTGGACCGCACCAACGCCCATCACTCGGCCAGGCATCGAAATGTCTGCACCACCCAGCGCATGGTTCGCGCACGGTTCGCGCACGAAGGTGTCCGTAGCCCGGCAAAAGCACATGAAAGGAAACCGAAAACCCATCCGCAAATACCAAACTTTATTCTTAACCTGGAATGCAGTGGTTGAGGGCCTAGGTTTCCTTCACCATCCTTCCTTCACCCAAGAACTAACTACAACCAACCCAGCCGGATTTCTCGTGGATTTGGGTCAAACACTGAGACACGAAACTTCCATCTCTCCCTAAACCGGAGAGCCAAGACTTCCACATCCGTTTTTCAGGACCGTGCCATCCTCCCAGAGCGAGCTTGAAAGTCGTTTGTGAGCGCGCAGAGAGTTGTGATGTGGAACACCAATGAAACCATGGGCGCAAACACCGACGACGACGACACTCACGGCCTCTGCAAACACGGAAAATCTCACCGGTACCGACAGTACCGACCTTTAAGGGGACCGACCGACAGTACATCATCGAGTTGTTGAGGAAGAAGCACCAGCTGGCCCAGCACAAACATCCTATCCTGCAAGCTCCTCTCCTCTGAAAGGGCAGCAGTTCCGCCATCTTGAAACTTCCACATCTTGGGCCACCCCACATCACGAGGCTCTGTGACCTTCTTCTTCTTGGTATCCTGGTGCGGAAGAGAAACCCAGAAAGACTCTCGACCGCTCTCGGACCAGGGACCATCCATTTTCCGGAATTAACACCGTTCCCAAAATGAATGTCAAAAGTAAACTCCGTTCTCTCCGTTTCGAATTGGCCAGGTTCATCGCATTGTGAGCCTCATGAGCAAGCTGCAAGCTGGCTTGACACTAGCCACTAGCCGAAGGCGGCTAAGGAGGAGTGCTTGAAATAAATGAAAGCATCGACCGTGTCCGATGTTCGGAAATGAACAGCCGCTGACCGCGGACCGGCACCCGCCTGCACCCGGATCACGTCATCGAGAGTCATGCCCAGCTTATCATCCGTGCCGGCTGCGCCGCCGGGACCCTGACCAAGAAAAGCGATGTCTTGATACACCCCACCGACAGCAACATAAGGTTCATGTCATTTGATGACATAAAACATAGAAGGAGCCAGTTTTCATTGTGTTTGTTTTTGGTATTTTTTGTTCTGTTGTTCTTTCAAACATAGAAAGACCGAGTTTTCATATCCTCTGGCCGACGTTGTGGCCCGACGTTCTGTCTCCCTAATCCTCCTGAATCTGAGAAAGGTCCATCTATATCCAGCGCCCATGACAGGCCATAAAGCCGGAAGATGTGACCAGTGTATATGTCTATCAGAATCAGGTTTGAAAAGACCTTGGAACTTGGGACATTTGCCCAACTCATCTAGCCACTAGTGCTGGGGATGACCCCGGCAGGGTGGTGTCAACTGGAGGGAGCTGGTGGTGTCATCACAGTACTGACAGCACAAACAAGGATGAACACGTACATGTAGGTGCCAACAATGGAGATTACATGAGATCACCATGTCCACATACGCATGGAGCTTCACTTGCAATCAGGAAACATGTTGCTTGAGACTCGAGACTGACAAGTTGAGAGACAATGCCTTGCATCTGGGTGCTTTCAGGAATCAACCAATAAAAGATCCAAACTGAAACACACTCGTGCGTGAAGCGCTTGAAGATCTTGAGATGCACCGACACTGTTTTCTCAGACACGCCCTTGGCACGGCCCTTGGAAAGAAACCGCGACATCGGCTGTGTCGCTGGTCAGCACCGGCAATTCTGGATTTTCGAGTCTTGTTGGGGACCCGGATTGACTGAGGTTGCCAGCCACTCGGTTTGTTCTGCAAGGGCCTCACTCCTTGCGTACAGATTCAGAACATCAAGGTCGGAAGGCGAAGAAGCGAGTGAACGCACCGCAGTGAACGCACCGCTGTGAAGCACGGTGAAGCGAGTCCACCATGAACAAAAGAGTTCATCCAGGGATACAAACCTGTCCGTGAAGTTTCTCATGGACGAGATATTTTGCCGGATATCTGTCGAAAACAAGGAAACCACCAAACGACCACCTACAGTTAATTGCCCTCGAACACAGGCATTTGGGAAGGAACACCTTCCACCCAAAGGAATCCACCGGTTTGGAACATCACTTTCCCACCGTCCTGGGCTGAGGGGGGTTCCGTCTCTGCCAGGCCCGCCGGGTGCCGTCCCCAGTGCCTTCGGAGCTTTGCCAGGCGTGATGGCCTTGGGGCTACTAGGAACAAGAAGCTACTAGGGGCTCCTGGCATCGCTACTAGGAGCAAGGACGCTACTAGGGGCTCGTGGCCTTACTACTAGGAACAAGAAGCTCCCGGATTGAGCGGGTGATCGGACGAGGCTTGGGCCAGGCTCGCCCTGTCGAGTGGAAGCCCCAGATTTGGAGCTGGTCCAAGAGAGCGTGGTGATGCTTGGTCAAATGACACCAAGTAAAGAGAAAAAAACACCGTTCCAAGGAATGATGTTCCCATAGTCTTACACCGGCCACAGCACACCGACATGGTCTTGACACGATTCTAGTGTACAGTGATAATTGTTCAATGTAATCACAGTATTGTCCCGAGCCTATATACAATAAATATGAAACATGACATGTTCAATGGATTTTTTCTATGCTGACAAACGTCGTGCACGCATGTAGGGACCGCCACTCATTCATGGTAGTTGGGCAGCGGACTCGGCAGGAAGTGCTACCAGGATCTCGCTGCAACATGGATGTTAGGCTCCACAAATCCGCTATCTTCAAGGAATTCACAAACGCAGTCCGCGATCAGCCACCTGATGTCATCAAAGTCATGCTGGAATGAACCGTACCGGACGGCTGGGAGCTAGTGACAATCGCCGAGACATTCCACGAGGCCCATGCTTTGGCCGATATGACTATGAAGGAGTTTGCTGGAGAATTGAGTGCTATCCAGTTGACTGACTCGGAAGCTGCCGGTGACGACCAGGAAGAAGCATGGGCTTTTCGCATGGACCGCCGTGAGCGCGGCGGAGAAAGCTGGGAAGTTGGAGCCAACCGAGGGCACCCAATGACGACGTGTCAGCTTTCCTTCGATCGCTCTGGGCCCTTGTTTCAACCGATTGGAAGGCTACACTGGGAACCGCAGAAGTGGTGCTCGTTTTCGCCGAAGTGGTCCATGAACTCTTTCAGGACTTGCACTTCTCCTTCCGACAAGTCTTCCGCACTTTGCGATGGTCCTGAGAAGCTTCGAATCAGCAGGTGCTGCAGCGAACACTTGCCCGAACTGCGCAGATCTACTAGTCTACCATAGACCATAGACCGATCCATGACGCGCTTTCTCTTTCTCGCTTTCTCTTCGCTTCTCACCACCGTGTGCTTCGGCCTCGCATCTCCCGCTCGTCCGAACCTTTGCACTACCGTTGTCACGATGCCGATGGCCGGTTGCTCGGTGTTTGCCAGGCTCGCGGGTGGCAGGCTCTGAACCCCTGGATGGATCGATCACACACATATATATATATATATAGATGAATCGTTACAAATAAGCTGCAACAAGCTGTGTATATATACACATATGGACCGATCGATCATATATACCAAAAATAGACTGTTTAGCATTAAACCATTGAATATACAATATTGACACAATAAAATAAGATTACGAATCTATCATAGAAACACACACACACACACACACATGCACTGGCTTGGAAAGACCACCACCATGCAACAAACAGAACAAGACACAGCTTCTGGAAAGGCAGGTTTCCTCTGGACACCCCTTTCGTCGACCGTCTGACTGTGTTGCGTCGGGCGTCCCGGACGGGGATGACTGGCTTGGTCGGCTTTGCCTCCTTCCCATCCTTGGCATCCTGTGGAAGAAGGAGACCCACTTGGTCCGGTTTTTCCAGAGAGTAGGTCCTTCGACACAGATTGAGACCGATTGCATATGATTGAATAAACCATGACAGTGTAGTGTAGGGTATTCAATTTTTGACTGAGCAAGGTTGAGGTGGGGGATATCCTTGTGTGGATCCTGTAAGATGAAACACGCACGGGCTGCCATACCTTCACATGATGACTGGCATGAACCAGTTTGGGGTCCTGCCACCCAGTCATGCCAAAAAAGGCTATTTCATGCAATACTCTGGAACGATGCTCCCAGTTTTAGTGTGCTTTGACCGCTGGATCCAACTTCGATACGCCACATGCCAAGACGGAACGTCCTTGTCTTTGGAGGCCTTCGCCTGGTGACAACTGAACTGTCACAATGGGGACAGCACAGAACTCATCATCAATCGAAAAAAACATGGTTGATGACACCCTGTTCCTTTTGAAGGGTGCGGGTATGGGGTACATGGCAGGTGAAGAAATGGACCATTTGACCTCCACAGCCACACACCCAAAAGATCGCCCAACACCTTCTCAAGGGGATATTCAAGAGGGGTGTGTGTACATATATATATATATATATGTAGATCATTGTAGATCCCTACAAGAATCTACAAGAGACAACTACGTGATACTACCTGGTCCCATCATCACTCAACAAATCCGCTACATCCAGTAGCCTACCAGGCGGTGTTTTGCCAAACTCCCTGGATCACTCCTTGGCTCGGAAAGACAGTTGTTAGTGGTCAACTACTCCTTTTGGGCTACAACCAGCCTAGGCCTAGTGGGATCCACCTATTACAAATTACATCCAATTACTAAAGGTCATACATGTGCTACTTCTGCCAAATCCCCTCAAGGATCGTTCCCCGCCTTCGACGCTGCCGGTGCAGGTTTCGAGGCCTCGGTTCGGTCGCAAGGCCACGGATGTGTCGTCATTGGTGTGCCCTCCTAGAAACCGAGCATGGCGTGTTCATAGAAAGAATTCGTGCCTATATATATGTTTGGTAGACTCAGTTTATCCATGCTCACCCTCTGGCTCAAATTCACAATAGCTTCAATAAATACAAATAGCCCCTTTCAGAGGTTTCAGAGAAACCATAAATTGGTCGACTTCAACCCATGGTGAATGCTAGCATATCCTCGAGGTTTCCACAGACCATTGACACCTCAGGTCTGGAAAACACATGTCTCCGAATTGAGCAAAAACGAGGTCTCACCGAATGGTTCCCGTCCCGTCCCATTTCTGGACATGGTTCTTGTCCCGTCGGACTCTCTTCGGTGTTCAAGACAATTCTCCGCACCATCGGTGCCGGTCAGCCGGTCCATCCCGATGCGACTGCAGACGGTCCACGGGCACGTCGCCCCCAACCATCCTTCCAGCCCACACCCCATTTGGATTGTCCAAGCTCTTCATATGGGAGGGTTTGTTCATCAGCCGTCTACATTACTGTTAGATTAGAATGTCCCCACCCCCACATCCACACACACAACACAGCTAATGATTCGGAGTTTGGGCAATTGCTCATGTGCATTCGCACAAAGAGTGACCTTTGGGGATTGTCCGAGCGAGATGCTGCTGCTGCCGCAGCCGCGGCCGCCTGAGCGTGGCAAACACAACAAGAGAATCTGCCCATGTGCATGGTGCAAATAAAGGCGAGGACGAAGCACAATTGGCGTGATAAATGTTATATGCTGGTGACATCTGGTGACTATGATGGTGGTAATATATAATTCCTAGTGGTCTGATGTCCAACGAAAACGGCAACTACTTCGCGAGCATTCGACAGCTATTTCTCTATGTTTCTTGTCTAGTAATGTCATGTAATACCATCCCTGTGTGGGAGGACCTCGTGTGGTGTTGAACCTCTTTGCCAGTGGCGCTTGGAGTTTACAGTCTGAAATCGCCCAGATTGACATTTCAACGACAAGATGTCCTTTTGGGAAGAATAGAGGGGTTGAATTAGTATAATATACTTATTGGTTGTTCATGGGTATCTCCATATCCCTCTATGAATCAACCAATCAACCAAGGGCCATCCATGGTTTCCAACACCCAGGTCTCAGGACTGAGGCTTTGGTGGCCTTTTCGGTGACCCCCAGGTCTCAGTCCCGACTCGACTCGGAAACAGCTGGTGGCTGGTGCGACGCCACGGGTCCCCACCCGGCGTGGCGCGCAAAACCCCGCAGGGGGGGGTTGCCCAGCGCCCCAACCGGCCTTCAACGCAGGTGCCAGGCCGGCAGTGGCGGTCTTGCTCTTGGGGCGCCTTGGAGGTGAAAAACTCGATGGTCGTCAAATGTCGTCAATCATCACTTGGAGACGGTCTGAATGGTATCATATCCCAACAGCACTCGACCCAACTCGACCCAACTCCAAAAGACTTTGGGGATGACTGGAGCAACCGGGAGAACATCCCTACCGACAATTCCCTGCAAGACAACTGACAAAGGACACAGTTGATTTTGTGTTCAGTCATTTGAAGTGGCTTCAAAACAAACTGGGTCCTGGTCCAAACCCAGCCGAAGGATGCCTAAGGCCCATTCAACAAAGAATGCAGCCGAGGAGATGGAGCAGAATTTGTTTTCCATTGGTTGCACATTGTCAAACATCCTCAGAAGGCAGGATTAAGGTGATTGACCACTTCATGCAATCTATTCCAAACCCGCTTGCTTCTCCGGTTTCGGGGGTGCAAACCAAGCCACCGAACGAGCGTCAGTAACTGGGACTTCTTCAACGGTCGGAGTGGAGACGGGATCCAACGAGCGACCCACACGTCTCGACCCACACGACGGGCGGGTCGAGCCCCTGGGGCGTCTCACTCGGTGTTTTGAACCTGCCAACGGTGCCACGGTCGACGGGCCACGAGCGAATCGCGGAGAGGTGGACCGGTGAGTCGCGACTCCGGAGACGTGGGAGAGTGGAAGAAGAGTCCGGTGAGTCCATGAGCCAGGACTCTTCATGAAACCAAATGGCTGAGAGTGTAGTGGAACTGGGGATGGCTCCTTCCTACTTATTGATGTAAACAAACTATAGCGCCATAAGGAGTGGTTAGTGGTCACCTCTTACTTAACCACTAAGGAGCTATGGTTAGACACCCCTTTAGGTGGGCTGTGCCCGGGCCTTGTGGGGCTTTAGGACGGCATGTGTTTTGTGTTACGACCTCTCACCGCTCTAAAGACCTCCATGCCACGCTGCCCTAAACCAACATATAAACCAACAAAAGCAACATCCCTACCCTTTCCTGAGGGATGTCAAAAAATGCAAGTTACCATAAGGGGGTAGGGATAAAGTAACTCTCGATGGTGTTCGACCGCAAAAATGCTGCGATCCACTTTGGCCGGCCTCTTTTCGACCTGTCGAACAATAGCTCGAACGAACTTCTCGGTCTCCGTTCGTGGTCCCACCACTGGCGGTCCCACCAAACAAATCGAAGCAGTGCATCGGTTCTTAGGTGGCCATCGCTAATGGGTGGAGGCCATCACTAGTGGGTTGGATGCCTCGCTATTAGGTTCCTTTTGCTATTAGGTTTCTTTGTGTTTGTGAGTATTCCCTAAGAGCTATTAGGTGGAGGCCGTTGCTCGCGGTCGACGGCGTTCCTTCGGGCAAGTGGCTTTGCTCGCTGGTCAAATAAGACTGAGCCAACTTGTGTTTCAATTGGTGTTTCACCAGTGCACTTTTTGTTTGCACTTCTTTAGCCATTTGGTCTAGCCAGTCGCCCGTGTTTCAACTCAAAAAGACTCGATGGCTTTCTAATCAAGAAGCGGACCTTTCGTATCATTTCGTGGTATTTTCTGGGGTCGATCACCAAAACGACACGCAAGTCGTTGAACCACCAGGTTTCGCACGTCGTGCCGCTCGTGCCGCCCACTGTGGTGCCTTCTTCACCCCGTTGCTTGGTGCCTGGCCGACGTGTGGAGAACGAAGGACGTCCACGTTGCTCGGTGTTGACTGGACGACCCCCATGGTTTAATGACTCGAAGATCTGTGTCTTGAGAGGACTCTCAACTTGGGTATTTACCGATGATTTGTTGGTGAACTTGGTGGTGAAGGATGCATGAAGAGATACGCTTTAGGACTCTGGAAAGCCATTTGTGATGAGGAAAGCCACCGTATTTACGGTGCAACATGACGTTGTAAGTCAGTGTTGTTTAGACTTATTCCTTCAAAGGCAATGGAATGTCCTCGGCCGGGAGCCCAGTATAGTGTGATGTTGGAGTTTCCACACAGTGACAATCGACTCTGTTTACCACAGGGACTTTCCCAAGCTGACCTGGCCAATCAACATTTCCTTGTACTGATTTGTCTCAAGCTAACTTTTTTTCATACTGTCCACGGTAGCCTCTTGATTATCATTGCTCAACATTGCACTTAAGAATGTTGGACGTTTACACAAAAACATCAAACCAAAGAGGGACTTTGGGTGAACACACAGGGGACAATGTACAGCATATGACATGCAGCACTTCAATTAATTCACCTGGTCAGCCATTAAAGCAAACACCACTTCTCAATCTGGTTGTTGGAACACGGAAACTACTGTACTTGTTGATTTGCACTGGACTGGCACTGGCAGGAATTTTGCGTTGCTTGCAAGACCTTCTCTAGAACGCCTCTTTGTCAAAGGGCAGTGGAGGACCATCCCAAGCAGCTTCATGTTGCTCAAACTTCAACGAAACAAGGGCAGTGGCATATGATGAATGCACACGTGGCCCCAAAAACCTGCCCATACCTGCCGAGTCAAGACGGAACGGTTCCGCCCCGACCGGTCGGGGCGGAAGACACCGTATGTCCCAATCTGCTTTGCTGTTTTGGTTTTCTGGGCTTCTTCCAGGCCTCCCAAAGCTCTCCGTTGCACGATAAAGACTTGTCTTGAGACAGGGCCAACATGAGATTTAGATTTATGCGCTTGCAGTGTGTGTGCGCGCGCTCTGAACTTGGTTGAGCTTTTGTGTCACGGTGTAGTGTGGAACCGGTGCTACACACATTTGCCCAGCGGCATGGGTATTGACGGGTATTGTTGGTGTGCTCTATTCTAGCAACAAGACATCGACTCAATTGATGAAATACTGCATCCTTCAATGACATGTCGGGGTGCTATTTTTGGAGGAAAGGGCTGAAATCCCTTCCGATATGGACCTGGTCTTATTAATTGGTTGCTCTCTGCGTCCAGGAAGTCTCTTTGACGTCTCCTCCAATCATGCTCCCCACCTTCCCAGCACGTGCGGCTCGCTTGCTGTTGCCGCCTCAGCACGCCAGCTGCTTGCGGCCGAAACGGTGACCGGGCATCACCAGCGCGGCGGCAAAATCCAAGGATTTGGTTTTAAAGACCAGTGTTCTTCCAGCAAAGGGCTTTCCTACAGAATGCAATTTTACAAGCATGTTCTTGAGTGTTTTCTTGTTTTCTTTCTTTCTTTCAATTCTCTCTCTCTCTCTCTCTCGCACTCCGCTGGGCTAGGTGCTCCTTTCAAAAGCTTAAACATATATAAGACAAAAGCCCTTTTCAATGGTTTTCGAAGGTTTTCGATGTTGGCAATTCACGGCAACCCACAAAATGGGAGTGAATGTACGTGAATGTCACATTTAAAGACTAATTGAAGGCCAGAGTCCATTCCAATTCACACGATAGACAAATTGAACCCTGAGCCAACAATCCCTCAGTTAATCCTAATTAATCTGGTGCTTCATACTACTTGTTGGGAATCCCAAGAGGCAATTCTCAGCAAAACAAACAACACACTATCAGAAAACCAGCTGGTGCAGCTCTGTATCAAGCATGTTCACAAACAAAGAGTAAGCTAAGAAAGAACACATCGCAACATCAAGAGCACATACAGGCCAACACATTGACAAATAGTTACTAAATACCAGTGCCACTCCATCCAGTTCTGTCCAGGTGTCATTCCCCATGTCACGACGGCATGACAACTGCATGGACTTGAGCCAGTCCCGACCGTTTTCGCGCCGGTCGTACGACCAAGAATCCCACCGACCTCGTCGACCGTCGTGTCTCACCGCGCCTTTCGACTTGATCACGTCCTCCAAGGACATGTCCTGGGCATGAGCGATGCTCGCACCGACGTGCAGCACGGGTACCGAGGAGCGGAGAAAGCCAGCATTTCGGTTCGGTTCAGCGATGAAAAAGGTGCTTTCCTTTGGTTTTGGTCGTTTTCCTGAACAAAAAAAACAATGCAGGAAGGATCAGTTAAAGCAGTTTTTTCGTTGTACAAGTGAAAGAGTTGCCATGTTCACGCACACATATTGGGGCGACGGAATGCCAAGAGTATCAATAAGGGCTTTTGGCTCAAGGACCCTGCCTGCATGGCAGATTCAAATCCAAGCAGTGCATAATCTGATTGGGTCATGTCAAGAACAGGTTTTGGTTCCCTTTCCACAAAGAGCTAAGAGATGCTAAGGGCCATTTAAAACGATCATTGACCATGACGTTGACCTTGTGAATTCCAGGCCCAGACTCGCAGGTCCAGAGCAGACAACGAGCCAAAGACTGGCGAAGGTGAATGACTGTATGCAGTAGTTTTTACCATAATGTGTACAATTATGTATATATATAATTTATACACACTCAAAACAATACGATAAACACAGTTTTAAAGAGGCTGAACAGGACACACAAACGGAGTTCTATCGATTTCGTAGATTCAGCCTGTGGTCATGCTTGGTGCCAGAACCAATCCCCACTGCTGGGCAACCAAAGCTGCAATCCTTCAAATTAGACAAGTGAGCTGATCAGTCTAACGCAAAAACACCGCACGACTTGTTTTCTTTGATACAACAGCCATATCTGGAATGTGATCACTCAGTTCTGAGCAGCAAGAGAATCCAATCTGGAATTGTTGATACAAACGCACAAACAGTCAGGATCCCAACAAGTGCACAATGATATTCAATGGATCTGTCACTATCAGAACAGTTTCCTTGCCATGTCTGGAGATCCGGGGGACGTGCCGATGCCGGTCTGGCCGATGCCGGTGTCTCCGGTGTCTCTGAGCTCTCAGCCAGCGCCGACATGATTCCGGCGCCGGTAATGGGCCTTCAACGATGGGTGAAATCACCGACAGCTAAACATGGACTGGAATGTCAGCATACTTGTTCACAAACAATAAGCTACTAGTAACAAGTGCCTTACTACTAGTAACAATGTTTGCTATTAGAAACAAGAAGCTTCTAGTAACAGGCGCATCGCTAGTAGTAACAAGTGCCTTACTAGTAGTAACAATAAGCAAGAAGCCATTAGAAACAAGAAGCTATTAGAAATCCGTGGAGACTTCACGGTGTCTTTCTGGGCGCGCCATCCACTGTCCGATAGTAACACCCCCACCAGGCAACACGGAATTTTCCAGCTTCTAGGGTGGTCCCGGGTGGGTGGGAGGGATGGAATATGTACAAATATGTGTTCATTATGTTCATCTATGCAGTATTACTTATAGGTTCACCTAAGCCCCCACAACAGAAATATGCCCTAGGCCCTATCCCTTGTTCCAGCAAGCTCTTTTGGGAAGAAAGGTCACTCTCTTCATTTTGTGTAAGTCAATACGACACCCAACAGCTTCCAACTCCCAACACGACCGGAAGACGCAACGTCATCTTGTGCCCTGACTGCAATGGAAACTCCACAGCCACATCACTGACCCGGTGGCAGCGCGGTGGCAGCAGTAGGCCTCCACTGTGGCCGTCTAGGTATTGAAGCTCTTCTCCACTCAAGTCACCCTTGAGCCCTTTGAAGCAACGGATCAACCACTGCCACTCTGTGCAAACAGTTGGCCACGGTGTCGGTGTCCGTTGATGTCCGGTTCAAGACGTCCCAAAGAATAACTATAACAATAACACTTGAGTCCCACTGTCCCACTATATAATAACAACTATAACAAAGAATGCCTCTATATATATATATACCAGTATTATATAACAACACTCATAACATCTTATAACCACATATGACACCGATAACTCACTTGAGTTGGAATAGTGTGTCCGGCTACTTCGGTTCAGATGGGCTCCACCGGATGACCGGCCGTCGAGTTCCAGTCCAAGGCGAAACGGTGGATCCACTGCGCACGCCAGCATGGCTGTGTTTTGGTGTCTTTTTCATGTCTATAGACATTCCCAAAGTGAAATTCCCGGAGCGAAAGTCAGAACCAATCCCATCGGACTCCTGGGAATGCTGCCCTGCCCTTTTTGCTCTCAATCCGTCACCGTCTGACCGCGCGGTGTCCCGTCTGATGCCATCGACGCCACGCGGCCGTCGCGAACCGCGTCGCGAACCGCGTCGCGAACCGCGTCACGCGGAGAGCGACGTGCATCGATGGATCACGGAACCCGTCGCGGAATAATACACTAGGCCGAGAATGAAAGGCGGCGCCCAGATCGGCTTTAAGAAAACTCATGGAAATCAACCATCTGAAGTAAATCATTAGAGGATGTGATGCTTTTGACCCAGTAAATCGAGAAAGGATGCCGCGATTGTATATTCAACATATATAGGTAAGCAGCGGTAAGCAGGATCTAGTGGACACACCTCTGCCTTGCATACCACATTTAGGGATCGGATTTCTACTCTACTTCCAGCAGTGGTGAGAACCTCCAAAAGAATGGATCACCATGAGCCATGGGGGTACAAAGCAACTTCAATACCTTCAGTACTGGATCTGAGGGTCTGAGGGTTCTATGGCTCCAAATTCAGGGAGATCATCACTGGATCTTTGGAAGATTCAGAGATGTGATGTTCAGGTATCCAAAGGTATCCATGTACCGTCAGATGGGTTTTGAATCTTCCGGACTTCTGCTGTTGCTGTTGGGTGTCTGGTGGGTCACGGACTGCATGTTGAACATGGGGGGACTACACCGGCCGAGGCGGAAGGGGGCGGGTTCCTGCATCCAGGTTTCCCCTGGTCTCCTGACTTCAAACAAACGCCCAACCCTGGGGGCATGTCAAGGTTTTGGGGCGTTTTGATTTTGTAATATGTGTGGCTTCTCACATTTTCTCCCCTTAATGAATGTCGTTGGTCCACATCTTTCCACTACTTCCCATGGTGAGGGGTTTCAGGCAACACCCACTTGTCAGCATTCTTCCTGCGGCCAGCTGGGGCATTGGAGAGACCAATCAGAAACAAGGACGTCGCTTTTCTTTTTGCGGCGGAACTTCGATTCTATTTCGCCTTGCTGGATATGGTCATGTCACAGCAGCTATTGACTGAAGTACTTTGCTGACGCTGTTAGTCTGAGAGCTACCCTCCGCTATAGCTACACTCCCGGCTGTCGATGTGAAAATCCAACATCATGAATCATGATTAATAGGACATACGAGTCTTGGAGTGTTGTCGCCAAATGCACTTACTCTTCGAAGCCTGTGCCTCAAGAGAGGCCTCACATCAAGGCTCGTGCACAGAGACGTAAATGGTTTGGCCGTTCAGTTCCCCACGATCGAAGGTCTGCACCGCCTCGTCGAGACATGTCTGGTCTGACAGATGAAACATGGTCTGTATGGCAAGAGATGTTAGAGATGTGTATGGAATCTTGTACAGTTGTACAGTCATCAATTGAGGTAGATGTCTATATCTAGTATCACCATGTATCACGGTCTGGGATCCAAACCAAACAGTTGTCACCGTGAAGCAAAAAGCGGTAGTTGATGGTAGTTGCTTCAGTGATTGTTTACATCCCAAATCAATCCAAATGGTCCAACACAGGGGGAACCATCACTGGCCGAACAACCGAGGTTTCCGAAAACGATTCGAATCGAATCGAATCCTTTCGTGACAAGGAGATCGGATGATTGGTTGTCCTGGTTCTTTGCTACTCGAAGGCCATTTCAGGGCCCCCTCGGATGGTTCAGGCGCCAACACGGCCGAACATGCCCGGACTTGTCGGCTGGTAAACCCGGAAGCTGGAACCCAGAAGCTGAATCCGAAACTGAAACCCAACCACATCTTCCCAGTCCTGTGGTGGCCACCCAGTTCAACGATCCCAAACGTCTTGAACATGAAACACTTAAGAATCCGACCCTCCAAGAGCAGACCCTCCACAGGTGTCCGGACCCTCAAAACACTTTCCGACCCTGGCGACCCTTTGAGGGACCGAAATCATGCACAGGACTCCCTGGTTTTCACGATCCTTGTGCACGCGTGCCTCGGACCGGAACAACGGTGGTGACCGTTGGCGAAACGCCAACGGAAACGGGAAACACTGTAGAAGCCAAGCAGGTCTCGTGTGGCTGGAGCCTTTCGAATCCGAATCCAATTCGGACCAAAAACCCGTTCTTGTGAGGCTGCTAGGTATCACAACGCCCAGCCGCTAGGAACTAGTAGACACGTCGCAGGCTGCACGGGTATTAAGGGGCGGCCTGATTTGCCAACGACTCCGGGCCACAGCAACGAACGTAATTACATAGCAAAGCATAGCAAAGCTACGGATTGGAAGGTACAGAAGCACCAACAAGTTGTCTTGACCATGGTGTGCCAGTTCTGGGTGTCCCAAAATGCGGTGCGGTCACATGTCGTGCACACCTAGTACCGCTTTTGTTTAATTGCTTTTTGATCCGTTTCGTGATCCAACACTCCGTGACCGTCCGGTCCGTTCGAGCTCGCTCCGTCCTTCTTGGCGTGTGAGGAGTTGGCGAAGGTGATGATGGCAACTCCGTGCTCCACCTGACAGCTGCGCTCTTTCCTTCTTCGCACAACGGTTGGATGTACCCAGAAGTTCGGTCGTTTATCGTGTCCATTTCCTGCCTTTGGAACCAGGCTTCGGAAAAGGAAACAACATCTGGGTCCACAAAAAAGCCGAGGACCCCAAGGGGCGCTGCAAGCCACGAGATGTTCGAGAAAAGGGTTTGAACCAGCCCCCACATGGCCGTGGGTCAAAAACCACCGTGGTTGACTGTGGGTGAAATGAACAGGTTCCTCAAAAAGGGGATGTCCAGCGTGCACCTATAGTTCATGAACGTGGCAAAACTTCTCTCTTGACTGAACCCCCTGGTTTTCACTCCAAAAAGGCAGTATAGATCTCTTTGATGAAACACCTTCACCTGTCTAATCCCGGCAAAAAAGCTGCCAAAACAATTCATCTTCCTCCCCAAACTTGTTTCACTACAATATTGCAGATTTCAAGTCTACATCTCTCCTGCCCATTCTCTCCCCCTGGCCAACACACATGGATTCCAAAACATGGCCACCAAACTGGCCACCAAACTTCCCAACAGAACCACCATGTTCTCCCACCGTGTCTGACGTCCCGTCACTTCTCCGGACACGTGTCCGGAGGAAAGGAGCTAAGAGCGTTCGCCACGCGCGTCCTCCGTGAGCCTCGCATTTGGTGACGCGGCCAATATCCTCAAAGGCTTTCTTAATATCTCTGTCTTCCAGGTTCTTCGGCACCTCAGAAAGAGGTTGGGGTGTGGTTAGTAGAGAGACAAACTCAAAATTAAGCACGGGGCTCGGAATTGACCGCCCGTTGTCTCATCATGGGTGACCCTTTTCGTCAGCATGCAATGCAGGCAGCCACTGGTCTTGGGTGAAGAAGCGGCTGGCACATCATTTGATATCTAAGACATGAACGGAAATATTGAACTCCAAAAAGCCAAGCTCACGCAAGCTACCTGGCAAAGTGATGCTGTCCAGGTAGCTGGGGTCTAAGGCAGGACCGCAGGTCAAAGTATGCAGGCTGCTGGGCAAGGTGACCCCATCCAAGCTCTGGTTGAAATCATCGCCAAAGGTCAAAGTCTGCAGGCTACTTGGCAACGTGACACCATCCAAGCTCTGGTTGAAATCATCGCCAAAGGTCAAAGTCTGCAGGCTGCTTGGCAACGTGACACCATCCAAGCTCTGGTTGAAAGCATCGCCAAAGGTCAAAGTCTGCAGGCTACTTGGCAAAGTGACACCATCCAAACTCTGGTTGAATTCACTGCCGAAGGTCAACGTCTGCAGGCTGCTTGGCAAAGTGACAGAATCAAAGCTCTGGTTGAAATCATGTCCAAAGATCAATGTCTGCAAGCTGCTTGGCAATGCGAGACCTTCCAAGCTCTGGTCGAACTTGTCGCCGAAGGTCAAAGCCTGCAGGCTGTTTGGGAAGTTGACACCTTTCAAGCTCTGGTTAAAGTCATGGCCGAATGTCAAAGTCTGCAGGCTGCTCGGCAAGGCGACACCTTCCAAGCTCCGGTTAAACCCATTGCCGAGTGTTAAAGTGTGCAGGCTGTTTGGCAAGGAGACGCCTTCCAAGCTCTGGTTGAACTTCTCGCCGAAGGTCAAAGTGTGGAGGCTGCTAGGTAAAGTTGCACCTTCCAAAATCTCGGTGAAACTGTCTCCGAAGCTCAGGGTTTGTAGACTGCTTGACAAGGTGACACCTTCCAAGCTCCGGTAAAACATAGTATTGAGGTTCAAAGTCTGCAGGCTTCTTGGCAAGTTGAGGCTTTCCCACATCTGGTTGAAGTACCAGCCGACGGTCAAAATCTGCAAGCTGGTTGGAAAGGTGACGCCTTCCAAGCTCTGGTTGAACTTGTCGCCAAAGGCCAAAGTCTGCAAGCTGCTTGGTAATGTGACACCTTCCAGGCTCTGGTTAAACTTGTCGTCAAAGGCCAAAGTCTGCAGACTGCTTGGCAACGTTACACCTTGGAAGCTGTGGTTGAACTCGTAGCCAAAGGCCAAACTCTGCAGGCTGCTTGGCAAAGTGACACTTTCCAAGCTCTGGTTGTACTTGAAACCGAAGGTCAAAGTCTGCAGGCTGCTTG